TTGACCCCGACGACGGGATGGAGTGTGCTACTCCGGAGGTTTATCCCAAAACCTCCGTTGAGGACGAAGCGGAGCGCCGCCGCACGAAGCAGGGCACCGTTCAGGCCATTCTGACGGCCAAGGCGGCGGAGACGCGCGGGCGTGCGCCCGCTGAAGCGATGCGACTGGCCAAACACATTGATATGTTCCGTGAAGACTTGGGCGATGACCACACCAAGACAAACGTGCTGTTTGTGTCGGTGATGCTGCTGTCCTGCGGCGGCACGGACGTCGTCTGGAGTAGTCTGTGGACGTCCGGCGCCGTGTTCTACGATATGCTGTGTTCGCCAGCTCAAATTGGCATACTGCACTGCGACGGGTTGCAGAGTTACCCCGGGTGTGCCACGAATCGTTTTGTGATGGTGCTGTTTGTGGCCAACATTGCGACGAAACTATGGATCGCCATTTCGATATGGAAGGTAAGGTCTAAGTTCGGTCATGCAAACCAGGGAGTTAGTTGGTCATGATGAAATGATATCCTGCGTTATTGTGACGATACGGTAGGCTGTGGCTGTGGCCAAGCCCGAAGTTGTACCCACGGCAGAAGCGATGCACCTTTCACCGCCTCCTGGAACGAATATCCCGGACGCCCCCACCGCCATCCCAGTCGAATAGTGCTCATTTTGTGCATTCATATACTAGCTCGTAATGATCGCAGGTTGCTGCTCTACAATCCTGGAATGTGTTAAGCTACCAACATAACGTGGTGTTTTATTTACATGTATCCTATTCGTCACACAAAATCGAGGAGTAGGTTGATTTCCTCTTGGATTTCTTCCGTGTCGTCGTCGTATGAGGCTTCGAGAAGGGTCGATCGCGGGCTCACAATCTCTTGAATGTGCTCTTCAATGACATCGCTAGTGTCCGTTGTGTTTGGTTTCTTGTCGACAGAGTCCGTACTTCTGTCGCCCCGTGTCAAAGTCGAGTCGCACGACGGATCGTTGTTTGTACGCGGGGGCGAGGGAGGCTGGGGCTGCCCGTCCGTGGCTTGGGTCTTGGACAATCGCACTTTCGTCGTCGTCGTGGTTGTTGGCTGGTTCGCCTCGAGCGTTGAGGGGGGGTCTTCGGAGATCGAGTCGAGTACGTTCAGGGGGGGCGGCTTGTTGCTGGACGCCTTGGATTTCTTCTTCTTGACCGGGCTGTGCGACGAAGAAGACGTCCCAGACGACGACATGATCAACTCGTTGTGTTTAGGTTTGTGAGGCTCGAAGGTGGCACCCACCTCGAACGGACTTTGGAGTCTGTCGCTAGCCACAAGCGACACGAGGCCGTGGTGAGTGCACACGTTCACAAACGCTTGAATTGAGATCGAAAATGCCTTTGTGGTGTGGTGGTCGCTATCTATCAGCGCTTCTCGAAACATTCGCAAGAGCCGACGATCGGAAAACTGAGGCGGTACACGGGGGCGTAAAATCGCGCAGAACTCGGGGAACGATAGCACGCCGTCGTGGTTTGCATCGCCCTACGACGTACACATACATACGCGTATAATCCGTCTGGGTATTCTCATAGTGGACATACCGACACAAACATCGCCGTGAGGTCGTCGTCGAGTTCCTTGTTTCGTAGTTGGAGTACATCCATGATGAGCTCCAGTACCTACAACCATCAACCGCTCACGCATGAGTCACTAAAACTGTATCGTACATTATACGACAGAATGTACCAGGTACACGTTGACCACGACCACGGGGATCTCGCGGCGACTCACTCCGTCGTCCGAACTTTGTTTGTCCGGAGAAGCAGTAGAATCCGCCGACAACGCCAGCATCGACTGGCGCATGCTCGCTCGAACGGTGAGGCGCTGCCCCGTCGCATCCGAGATGGCTCGACCTGCGTATATAGCCGAATTGTACTCGAGCTATTTGTGGTTGAAGCTGGATATTAGACAAGCGTGCATCAAGAAGGCACATTCACACGTACTTGGCGGCAGTACATGCGAAGTTTGTCTTCGGGGAGATGGCCGAGATACCATTTCAACACGTCGACGGCATACTCGAGGGGCATCCACCGTTTGATTCCGTCCACACAAATGACGTGGGACGTGCCTTCGGTCGGGTGGTGAAACGCGCGGTGGCTAAGCCCATGATGACCTTTGCATCAGAATGCAAAGAGATTGCACATGGACATACCGGGCATGCAAGTACACCCGCAGGTAGTTTTGGTTCAAAGTACATCGCTTAGGCAATCCAATTTGCCCCATTTCCACTTTAGACATGGACGCTTTCACGTCGTCATGGGGATCGATGGGTTTCGACCCCTTGCAAGGCGATGGGGAGGTGGGGTATGATTCAGACGATGTCGATGGTGGGTGCAGGAATTGCATAAACCGAGCAAACATGCACAACATGGACGAGCCACGGTACAGTGCTTTCACGGAAATGAGCAGGCGGTACAACTCGACTTCGGCCTTTTGTCTGCCCGAGCAAATGCGGAGGAAATGACCGGTCACAAATTCATGCAGCGGCTCGTAGCCCACGCCGTCGCCTTCGTCGTGGCAGTCTGCGAGCAACTTGGCGTCGTAGATGGCCTCCACACGATCCATGGTCGCCGGCAGCGTGTAGTACTTAAACGCCATGACCGTTCGAGGCAAGTGCGTGAGGAACTGCTGGAGGACAAGGGGCAGCTGCCACTCGGAAGCCACGGCCGCCTGCCATCGCTTTCGCATCGCCTTGACGTCCCACACTTCGGCGTACTAATATCACACCGGCAAGTGCAATCAATATAAGGCCATTGAACCAACTACGCCAAGTTTTCACGTTGTCTCTTTCCAGAAACCAGAATAGACCATTGTAGCCAATCAACAATTAGCATATTCCAGATGAACCAATGGGAACACTTCACGTTCTGTCGGTTGTACGAACCGCTTTGTCCGTGTCCGAGTGCGGTTTGGGGCGGCCGTGGCACAGTTTGCATTGGACAAATGCATCGAATCGCCGCCAAGCCATGCGCACCCGCGCGAGTTTGGACACGCATGTGGGCACGCCATCCTAGAAGTCCATGTTGGACTAGTGTTCATGCAATGTGGCGATTCGGAGGAGGACTCATAGTAGTAGTTAGCTTAGTAGTCGTACTTGAATGTCCCAGACACCGTCGTCGTCGACTTGGGTCTGGGTGGTGGCGACGGACGTGGCCGACGGTGTACTAGACTGGCCGAAAGCAGCATTCGACGACAACAAGAGATGTTCCAACCGGTCGTCTTCCTGTGCTTCATCATTCTCCCGACGGGCCTCCTCCAGTTGTTTTAGAAGCTGTTCTTTCAACACTCTATACAGTCAAGATTGGGTTTTAGCTAGATGAAGTACAAGTCAGTGTAATATGTACCTAGACTGCTCAACGACCCTAGCCTGTTCTGCGTGGTGCTGCATGCAATACATGTCATTCACACTCACGAGATGTCACCAAATGCCCATCTCGAAATATCGACATACGTGGTGTTCGAGGAGGCGATTTTGCACGTCCATTTGCACTTGTTTTTTCTAGGCATCCACACTTGAGCTAGTAACTACTAGTGTACTACTAGTAGTCTAGTAATGTCGTTACCCAAAGGTCTTGTTCTCGTTTTCGCAAGTGCAGCTCTCGCTTTTCATAGTCCAACCGGTCCATTTTCAATTCCCGATATTCGTCTTGCTACGAATCAAAAACACCATCATGTGTGCTCGTCACGTGAACCCTGACAGGTTTTTTAAGCGATTGTCGCAGTACATAATAGTACCATTGCTCGCCATGTACTTTCGTCTTGCTTCAAGCTCAAGTTCTACCCATCGTTTGAGTTAGTTAAATCAACAACAATCTATGCAAACAGTGAATAGTACCACCACCACCTACTATACTAGTAACGTTAGTACCTGGAACTCCAAGTCGTGAATCTGCACGCGGTGAGACTTCAACAGGATTTCCTTTGCCTCGATATGATGGGTCAATACTCGAATGGTTTCTTCGAGCTCCTCGACTTTGGTGTTTAGTGCAAGCGTGGTCTTGCGCTGGTGGTGCCGCTCCTCGGCGTGCTCTTGGCGATACTTGTAGTAAAACCGAAGCGATTCCTCGAGCACTTTCTCAAACACCGCCAAGTAGGTCGTTTCCAGCTTCAGCAGCACTTTGCCCAGCTCTTTGCGGTGGGCTAGCACAAGCTGCGCCACTTGGTGGAATTGTTTGGACAGTTCTTGGATGCTTTGTACCTAAGTAGTTAGTATGCAACCTATCTTTCTAGTATACCGAATGGTCAAAGTAGAAACGTGGTAGCTGGACAAACAACGTACGGCTAGCAGCAATTCGCGACCAGTTTGAATGTGTGCAATCTCGGCGACTTGGGTGGCTCCGTCGCCCACTACTGACGCAGGCAGGTAGCGTCCAGTCACCCTGTGGAGCAAGGCATTTGTATACGCAAACAACTGCGGGTTTTCTGGGAGGCTGCTGTGGTTGTCACTGGTGGTGTTTGATTCGTTCAAGAAGTTCGTTGTGGCCTTTTCCGGCTTGTGTTGTTTGTTCGTTGCTTTCGAGTGATCATGCTGCAGCATCTTATTTAGGGCTGCATGTAGCGGCGACTCGATCGGGAATCCATTCTTTAGCGGCGGCGGCAGCACCGGCGCCGACCTCGTCTGGTCCGCGCCTCGCTTCATGAGTAACGGTTGTGTAACTGCTGTAACCGATGCAACTACCAAACCAAAACAGTTTCAAAATGTACGACGACTCTCGGTATTAAAATTACTAAGCAAAGCGACAAGGAATGGCTTCTACTTTTTGACTTCGTTCACATACGGCCCGTTGGTCAAGACGGCTTCGGCGTTGTCGAACGTGGTCTTGGCAATGTTGTCGAGCGCTTCCTTGGTAAAGTACGCTTGGTGGCCCGTGATCAGCACGTTCGGGAACGTAAACAGCTTGGTAAACTGTTCGTCCGCTAGGATTTCCCCCGAATGGTCTTCGTAAAAGATGTCGTTCTCGCCTAAGAATTAACGCAAAAAGTGAGCACGAACATGGACAAACAGCGACATGTTATTAGAGTACCTTCAAACACATCGAGTGCCAACGATCCAATATGACCCGTCTTGAGGCCTTGGAGGATCGCCGTCGTGTTCAAGAGACCGCCGCGGCTCGTGTTGATGAGCATCACACCTACAAGAAGAAACAAAACAGTATAAGTATATATATAATAGTTCTACCAAATATCAAACGATGCGAGTATGTATGCTCACAGTACCTTTCTTCATTTGGCGAATTGTGTACTCGTTGATCATGTACTTGGTGGTGGGGAAGAGGGGGCAGTGGAGCGAAATGATGTCGGACGTTTCCAGCAACTGGTCCAACGTGACGTACTTAATGCCAAGGGCCTTGGCTTCGTCGCTCTCGTACACGTCGTGGGCAATGACATTGCACCCAAAGCCCAGACAAATCTTGCCAAAGAGGACGCCGATTTTGCCAGTGCCAATGACTCCCACAGTCTTGCCGTGCAGGTCAAACCCGAGCAAGCCTACATGAAACCTCAAATTGAGTACTTTGGACTTGATCCAGAAATTAGGTAGTACTACTGCTTAGGTACCTTGGAGGTTGAAGTTGAATTCGCGGGTGCGGTTGTACGCGCGGTGGTACTTGCGGTTCAGCGTCATCATCAAGCCCGCCGCGTGTTCTGCGACAGCGTACGGCGAGTACGCGGGGACGCGAAGGACGGGCAGACCGACCTCCTTGGCCGTTGGCAGGTCTACCATGTCGAAACCAGCGCATCGGAGGAGCAGTGCCTTCACCCCAAGCGACGCCAGCTAATAATTCGACCTCCACGGTTAGAAATATATGTTTCGAGTCGATAGATTTAAAAAATTACCTTGCGGATCACGGCTTCGTTGGCCGTGTCGTTGACGAAGATTACGACGGCGTCGCTGCCATCAGCCAACAAGGCGGTCTCGGGCTTGAGGCGATGGGAAAAGAATCTAATATTGAGGATGAGTTCTAGAATCAATATGTGGAACACAACTAGGCTACGTACTGCAGCTCGTGCTTGAGTCCGAGGGTCTCGTGCATGGCGATGATGGACTCCTTGTCGTACTTGCGGACGGAGAAGAAGGAGATTTTCATGGTGGTGGCGGGTGGGGGGATGCAGGGAAGTTTGCAAATGAGAAAGGTGATGTGCGTGACACGGGCGGCCACCACAAGATCAATCCCTCCACGGATTTACTTGTTTATCACCCCAAGATACTGTCTTTGATGGGGCGCATAACATGACAATTGCATGTTTATGTGGTCTATGAGTTCGTGACCTTACATTTCGATTTCACATTGATAACCGTCTTAAATGTTACAGTATATATCTACTATGTATACTATACACATAAACCAGATATAAAAAAGTCTGAAAATGGACTCACATTATGGTTTTGAGGGAATGTGACAGTCTCGTAAATCACTTTTGCAGGTAGTGGACACTTCAGGACGTGATCAAAACGTGTTGGAAACGCGTGGTGGCAATCTGAAATTCGTGTTTTTAACGCCTGGTCAACATCCACCCCACCACTGTCAAAAACTATATCCGTATCCGAAACTTGAACTACTAATAGTATGCATGTAGTAGTACTAGAAATGAGTACTAGCAGTAAATTAGATTTCTAGTACTACTAAGCAGTCTACATCCGGATGTTTCGGCATATAACCGGATCGTTCGTTCTTGAACTTCACAGCACATCCATCGCGCGGCCATGAACTTGCGCCAACGCAGCGTCCTTCAACTGTACCAGAACCTGGTCAAGGACAAGGCGCTACGACCAGACACTGCTCAGCAAGTGATTGCTGTCCAGCTGGACAAGCTCCAGCGGCGCCTTGAGAACTACGACCTGCCAACCAATGTAGGGCAGCCACGCACTGCAACATCTTTGTGACTGGACCATGCGGCGTGCATAGGTCAAGGAACCGACAAAGGTTCCTCGTGGGCTATACATCCATGGTCAAGTGGGCACTGGCAAGTCAATGCTAATGGATATGTTCTACTCGAACTTGGACAACAAGAAGCGGCGCGTGCACTTCCACGCGTTTCTGTTAGACGTGCACCGTCGCATTCACAAGCGCAAGCAGGAACACCTTGAAACATATGGCCGTTCCATGCACATCGAACTGCAGCCGGAGCGAGACATCATCGGCACGATTGCCAAAGAGATCGCCACTGAAAGCCCCGTTCTGTGCTTCGACGAATTCCAAGTAATGTTACGCATGGTTTCAGAGCAATTTTTGATGTCGGCGACAACGGCATCGTCGTAGGTCATTGACATTGCCGATGCCATGATCATGCGCAAGTTCTTTAGCGTGCTCTTCCAACAAGGAACTGTCATGGTGGCCACCTCCAACACCCATCCCCAGGTTTGGAAGAACCTCAACTATCCACCCCTGCATTCTCACAATGTTCGGTAGAATTTGTACCCCGATGGTGTCAACCGTGAATACTTTGTGCCATTCTTGGAGCTCTTGCAGCAACACACGAAGGTTCTGTCAGTGGACTCGACCACGGACCACCGCCGCCACGACGCGGCAAGTCGAACCTCTTGTTGGCAACATGCTGATTGTCCTCTTATGATGTAGCCGATGGACGACGCGTACTTTTACCCCATAACACCTCAAGTGCAAACACAAGTGCTAGCTATCGTCGACGAATTGCTTCAAGGCGGACCTCCCCTGGTACTCGAGACGATTCCAGTCATGATGGGGCGAAGCTTGCAAGTGATGGGGCAAGGCGACGTGTGCGTCGTCGAGTTTGCAGCGCTATGTAACACGGACAAGGGCGCTGCCGACTACAAAGCACTGAGCGAACGCTTTCGGGTCGTCGTTCTAACTAACATTCCCCAGCTGACATTGGCCATGCACAACCAAGTCAGTTTGCTGCTAGTGCATGTATTGCGATGGAAATTGTTATAAGCGCTGTGTGGATTTGTTGGTAGGCGCGCCGCTTCATCACGCTTTTGGACGAGTTGTACGAGCACAAAGTCCGGCTCATATCCACAGCTGCGGTAGCGCCCGATGCGCTGTTTCAGTTTGACGCACACGTCAAAGTGCCCGTGCCACTGTCGCTAGCGTCAAAGCAAGCCGCGCTCCACGACTTGCAAGCCAATCATATCAAGCCATTTACGTCGTGGGACGGTCCCGTGGCCCACGATCCTGCCACGGCATCGGATGGCGAAGAAGTGAAAAACATGAGCTCCATGACCGACCTCATGTACGCGTGCAAGCGCGCCGTGTCGCGGCTGCACGAAATGCAAACGTTCAAGTACCAAACCCTCGCTGCTTCGTCCAACGTTCAAAACACCAAAGTCCATAAGTAGGACCTTAAACTCAACGAAGTGTACAGTAGTGGGACGAGTTAACGCTATGGGCAAAACGTCACGACAAACACTTCGTCGTCGGGGCAATCCTTCATCTTGAGATCGTCAAACGGATACAAGTACGCGTCGGGGCATTCGGCGCGGGTACACGTGACCTTGTGGCAGTTGCCTTTTTGGGCGTTGCCGTCGTACTTTGTCGGAAGGACCGACACAGGGATGTTGTAGCCCTTGGCGCCGCCCGAATTCCGGACGCAGTCGGCATAACTCATGCCGTTGCCACACCCAGGTGGAATCGCGCTGATGTCGTACCACAGCTTCCGGTCGGCTAGCGTCAGCTCCACGAGCGTCGCGTCCGCCGCGTTGGTGTGTCGATACATCGTGTGTTCGCGGTCCACAAGGGTGTCGCCGCATTGACCGTTGGTCTGGAGGGTGCAGAGCAATCGGTCCACTTTGTAGAGATACACGGGGAACGTGCACCGATTGACAAAGTTGAGCATGTGTCCCAACGCGAGGGGGGGGGGCGTTGTCGTCGTTGTAGTGGTCGGGGGTCGAGATGTAGTCGTGGGGGCTGCAGTCGTCGTCGTCGTCGTCGTGGGGGAACGAGTGGTAGTGGAGAGTCCTGGGGTGGAAGCAGACGTTCCCCCTGAAGAAGTCGAGTGGTCGCCACTAGATTCGGTCGAGTTGTGGGCCGGGGGAGTGGGGTCTGGTGACGGGGGGTCGGTACGACTCCGTTCAGTGGACACATCCGTGATCGAATTTGTCAAGGGCACGTCATTTCCAGATGACGTCGACAACTCACCCACGGTGCCCCCCGCGAGCCCAATCGACAGGCCGATGGTCACAGCCACTGCCGCGACAGTGAGAAACCCCATGAGGAAGAGCCGGCGGCGCACAGCCTTGGCTTGGAGCGTCAGCTCTTGAGCTTTGGTTTCTTCGGTCGTGGCCGGAGTGACCATCAGCACCATGCCATCCCAGATCGATGTGCGTTTCGGACCAGACTTCATCCGCACCAGAGACAGGCCGGTTTCAATCTCCTTGGATGGCGTCTCCACGGGAGGTTCATTGTCCAGCGAGATGGTGGCTTGGTTGGGGGTGTCCATGGCACCTGACGGCACGGGCGCTGCCGCATCATCATGAGCGATGGAAATGGTAGTCATTTGGAAAATATGATGGACATGACAAAGGCACTCATGGGATCAACATGGCGGGTCTTGGTCACCGCCCTCCTTCGTCGGATGAGACTAAGAATAGACTTGAGGGCTTGTCGCATCTGGCGTTTTCAACAGCTGCCACTGATTCAACGGATATCAGTGCATTGTGTTTTACCTACTACAGTACTACGCCAGCAACGTTTGGACTTGACATGTGAATTCCACGCTTGGCCAAATATAATCTCGCAATAAGGAACGTGGCCCACCCCGGCGTATAGTAAATTGTACGCAAGTATGGCCATCGTACTTCTTGGTAGTACAGCGCTAGTACATCGTCGTTGACGATATCTTGCAAGAGGTCATCCATTTTATGGAAGTGAGAACTCAAACTGATGTGTGCGGCGCATGGATTATTCATTGTCAGACGAAATCTTGCTGTAGTAACAATCCAACGACGCTTCAATCTGTTTGACAGAAAATATAATCGAGTGATAGGGTAGTGAGGTGACCGTTCGGCAACCCGAAGGTCGTTGGCGAGCTCCACGCATTGGCATCGGCATGCATTTTTATCCAGCTAAAGTTATGCACATGGAGTATCATACTTCCGGCATAGCTCGCAATTAACGTCTGCACGTCGCGAAATCCCAAGCGTTGCGAGCTACTAGTAGTGACTGGTACGTGGCGTGGCAACACAGTGGCAAGTTTTGTGGCACCCGCATTCAGGGCCCAGTTGTCGCTGAGATCGACGGATCGATGGCTCGGACATATGAGGAGTGAAGGTACGAGGCCAGAATCCCCTCATCGGTGACAGTCGACTTGCGGAGATTCAACGTCGTGTGGTGGCGGTACAGAGATAGGCAGCCGCCAGAACTAAGCCACCGACATCCCCCATTGAATTATGCCCGAAAACTTCAGTTGTGAGGCAGGTGAAGGGAAACACCGCTGCCAGCGCATCGCCGCCATCCGACCCAATGCCAGCACTGGCAACATCTAGCTCCTGTAGCCGAGGCATGTCAGCACTTGCAACGAGGGTGTTGGCGAGCTGTGTGATGTCTAGACGTCGAGAGAATGAATTACACGGAACCAAGCAGGACGTTCATAACATCCACAACGACTTGAGTTGCACACCTGTCGTCAAAGGCGAATTGTTCAACAGCACCGTGTGTAGCCGTGGGGGAAGGCGGGGCATCGTACAAATGGCTTGCCCAACGTTGCCATATTACATATTCAAAGCTTCAAGCGTCGGGAATGCAGCCATCGCAGACACCAGAGCTGTGCTGTTGAGCCCTTTGACACTGCTGTAATACAGGGTCAACTTCAAAGGTCGCGCTGAGTACAGCGCCAGTCGGTTAGGCGAGCGACGTTCGACGCAGTTACCTCCCAGTAATCTAAGTCTAGATCAGCGTTTCAATGGGACAAGTGGCCAACGTGGCAAAGAGCGTATCGTGCTCGAAGTTTGTGGGTGCCGCTTTGCACTTCAACTCGATATGGCAGAGTGACGTTAAGTGCTCAAGTTGGAGGAGGAAACTTCCAGGTTCCTCGTATCCACCGTAGAAATCGTCCCCGAAGGTGGAAGTGACGTAACATAATGTGGACAGGTCTTTGAACCAGTGCACGGGTCTCGAGATGTCCACTTTTGGGAAGGCTTGGATGGGTTTCGATGGAGGGAGGCATTGCCGGAGGATGTCTAGGTCCCACACACCACTGAAGTCCACGTACGAAAATGGAGCTGACGCTTGTCGAAGTAGTGGAATCAGGTTGGCGTCGACGGGTACCGTCATCGTAAGATGCAGTCGTGGCCATGGGCAAAATATCGGTTGTATCGCGACAGAAACAGCTCTGGAGAGGGGGGCTGAGAGCATCTTGTGGGAGTAATTGCAGGAACGAGAAGAACGTGAGGGAGCACATGATGTAGGGGACAATGTGCTCTATGATTTACCGTCGCACATGACGACATCGTTGCGCCATTCTCTCGGACCACTCATTGTCATTCTCTCGGACCACTCATTGGACCACTCATTGCAAAATGACAATTTGGTAGCCGCGAGGGCTCAAAGAACCAGTCTGTACGAATTACTACTAATACTTACGTAATACTACCATAGTACTATGCTAACGTTAGTACATAGTACATCCCAGAGTAGTGATTATTGAAGTCCATTCTACACTAATACATCGAGCAAATGGCTGCCACCAGAGGTATTCCAGCGACATCCCCCTTCGCATTAAACGAGAGTTCTTCCGGTAGAGTGGTAGGACTTGCAACCAGGGTATTGGCGAATGGTGTGATGCCCACACTTCGGAGTGATATAAACAACCAGGGTATCCACAAATTGGGCAGCTGCATACCTGGCGTGTCATCACAGGCGTATCGCGCAAGACAAGCGTGTGTAGCCGATTGTACACACGTCCTGCCCAAGGTTACCATCGAAGGTTCTCAGGGCGTCAAGCGTCAGTGACGAAGCCATCGCTGATACCAGAGCTGCTTTGTCGAGTGGATTCACACGCAGGAATTGAGGCCAACTCCAAGGCTTGGGTCGAGTCAAACAGTCAATCGGCGAAGCGAGCAAAGTTCGGCGCAGTTAGCTCCCAAGCAGGTTGTTGTAGATACAATGCTTCAATGGGGCGAGACATCAACGTGGCCAAGAGCACGTCTTGCTCAAACTCAGTGAGGTCCGTTTCACAAATCAACGCGATGTGACGTAAAGTGCAGAAGCGCGAAGACGCAACTTCCAGGGACATCATATCCACGATACTAGTAGCAACCATCCCGTGCCGTGGAAATGACGCAGAATGTAGACAGGTATTCAAACCATTGCGCGAGCTACCACACATACACCCCCCCCCCCCGGTAAATGCCATTCACGTCTGCGGATATTTCCATCGAGCGAGGTGTTGTCGGAGGATGTTTAGGTCCAACATAACTTGTGTTTCCGTCCACGTACGGAAACACAACTCAAGTTTGTCCAAGGAATAAAACCTGGTTGGCGTCGACGGTGTCCAGCTTTGCAAGAACCACTTATTGCCATAGCTGTCAAATGGGGCCTGGAACAGCGCCAAGAGGCTCTGTGGAGAGGGAGGCCGAGAGGAGAAACGAGAAGAGTGTGTAGGAGCAGTTCATGTGGACGTTGATCAGGTAAACAACGACATCATTACTAGTATTGCGTCCTTCAACTGTCAACGTAAATGACGAACCTGAGGTTAAAGCGGACTACGATCGGATTGGCTAACGTTATAATTAATCAATCTGAGGGTAGTATTTCAAAGTACTATTAATACCTGGGTGTTTGTTACATTGACCCCAGTGTTTTTACCGTGATTTAGGATCACGTTTCGTTACAGAATGTAATTATAGGGAGGTCATTTATGCAACTCTCGCGCTTTTGCACATTTAAAATCGTAAAACCGACGCCAAAACAAGTCCAAAGCACAATATTATTAATAATATTAATAACTAGTACTACTTCGACGTAGGTGCTTCTTATTACTACGTAGTAGTACTTAGTACTATTAATAGTGGTCCTAGTTTCGAGGGAGAAATACACTTATTAGTACATTGAATAACCCAAATAGACTTGGTTGGCAACCCCAAGGACGTTGGCGAGCTCCATGCATGGTCGCCGGTCTGAAAATGCCATTTCGACAGACAAATCGATTTTCATACGTTTCACACATGTGGGAAGAGCTCGCAGTATCGTCTGCACGCCGCGAGCTTCCAAGGGGTTGTCTCCGAGTGACAAATCCGTGACGTGGTGGCACCGAGGCAGCACGTCGACCAGTTGCGTGGCACCCACATACGTGGCCAAGTTGTCGCTGAGATCGACAGATCGAAGGCTCGGACACATCGGGAGAGCAGACACGAGTGCAACAAGCCCTTCGTCAGTGAGAGCCAGCCTACGGAGGGCCAACGTCGTCAGATGGTGGCATCGAGGGAGGGCTGATGCCAACGCAATTCCACCCACATCCCCCATCGCATTAAACGAGAGAACTAGAGAGGTGAGGCAGGCGAACGGAAGCACTGCAGCCAACGCAGCGCCACCGTCCGGTCCAATGCCAGCACTGGTAACACTTAGTTCTTTTAGTCGCGCACTGCTGGCAACGACAAAGAGGGCTTTGGCCAGCAGTGTAATGCCTTCATCTCGGAGGGGATTGGAATCAAGACGAATCTTAACCAGGGATTCTGATGACAGCCAGACCGACTTGAGTCGCATACATGACGCCGACAATAATGAATCGTTCAAGACAATCGTGTGTAGTCGCGCAGGGAGGTGGGTCATCGTACAGAAGGCTTGACCAAGCGTGCCATTGAAGATGCGCAGAGCTTGAAGCGTAGGCGAAGACATCACCGCTGACACCAGAGCTGCGCTATCAAGAGGGTTCACGCTGCAGGAATCGAGGGTCAACTCCATGGCTCGGGTCGAGTCAAGTAGCCAGTCGGCTAGGCGAGCGACGTTCGACGCTGTTAGCTCCCAACGAGGTTGCTCTATGTGCAGTGTTTCAATGGGGCAAGTCGCCAGCGAGGCAAAGAGCACGTCTTGCTCGAATTCGGTGAGCCATGTCATGCACTTCAACTCAAGGTGGCAGAGGGACGTAAAGCGCTCAAGAGAGAGGACGAAATTTCCAGGGACGTCAAATCCACCATAGAAATCGTCCACGATTATGGAAGTGACGCAGAATGTCGACAGGTCATGGTACCAACGCATAGGTCTCGTGACGCCTTCTTCTGGGACAACGTGAATACGTGTCGACGGAGACACACATTGTCGGAGGATGCCGAGGTCCCACAGTCCACTGACGTCCACGTACGGAAACAGGACTGCAGCTTGTCGAAGGAGTCGAATCTGGTTGGTGTCGACGGTGTCCATGGGCTCAAGAACGAGTCGTGGCCATAGATGATGAATGTTGAACGAGGACTGGAACAGCGCCAACAGGCTCTGTAGAGGGAGGCCCAGAGTGTCAAGTGGGAGTGCTTGCAGGAACGAAAAGAGCGTGATGGAGGAGTGGATGTAGGGCACAATGTGTTCGATGCATTCTCGTCGCCACACGCCATCGTAGCCTCCTTCTCTTCGACGTTTGATTGCTTTCATCGGTGGACGGTACCTGGTTGAGGTTCACAAGTGTCAATGCCTGTAGCGGTGTATTGTCAAATCGATTCGAAACTGGAGCCTTCTACAGAATCGAATGTCGGATTAAAGAACCGCTTAAGCCAATCAAATCACGTCCTGTCAAATTTCTGCCAATCCAAACGATTGACCCTCCGCTTTGGGCAAAACCACATGTATACTCATCTTTGTATAGTATAGGTTGTACCAGCTTAAATAAGATCAAGTATAAATATGACGATTACTCCAACATTACTTCGTGTTTGTATGCACTATTTTGACCAATACATGAATTTTATTTTGGTAACTCAGCTTTCTAGCCAATCAAAATTGCTCTACCAATATTTTAGACCAATAGTGCAGGTTGCTTGCAATATTGGGGTACTGTATGTCAGAGATGTCGGCACAAATTCGGAGCAATTATTCTATGGTATATGGAAGTGGCAGTTTCAAAATCAACCAATCCCCGCGCTAGGAAGTAGTGCCCATTCCAAAGCAGCGGCCCCGTTGCAGCGCCAGAATGGTGTGCACAACCCCTGCGGCCATAGGTATTGTACATATTATAAATGCATTTCGTTGAGTACTAGCTGTCACTTGTCTTACCGTTCATCCACACAGCGTGCGTTGCGTCAACCTTGGCATCGCTAGCAATTGTCGTGACCCAAGACCTACCGCTTTGGGCAGTGTATGACTCGGCATTTACGTCGAAACACACCGCTGTCGTAGGTGGTGGTAATTTGTCCACACTGGTTCATGTAGGTATCTATACCATATGCCTGGAAACCCAGAGCAACCAGTCCGTGGCAGACCCGCGCCACCCGAATGCAGTGTATACGTGCACCGAGCTGTCGTCGTCGACAGTGTATCAGCTTAACTGCACCACAACCAAACGCGGTGGGCTGCCGTCGCACTGCTCTGCGATTGAAACGATCGATTCCGTCCTACCCTTGTGCGCGACGAAAGGTCACAACGACGGGGTCGCATACAACTGGCACGCGTTGACGTTGTATCAATCATTGGACAGATCGTCTGTGGCCGCCGTGCAACTCAGTCGATTCTTAGTCTCGGCGTGTGGAGCCACCGGACTTGTCGTCCAGTTCATGGGGACGGCCGTGATGTACTCATCTTGTGCGTTTACAGGCGTGCTGGTGCTTGAAGCCATCTGCCTGCCGTTTCGCATCATGCGGCATGTGCTGCAGGTGGCGATGGTTATCGGATGGATCATGGTGCTCACAAGCGTCGTGTTGTTTATTTCGTGGGGGTTTGAAGCCAGTCATCTTGGGAGTTTCAAGTTTGCAGAGGCCACGTACGTGGCGTTCGGAGGAGTGGTCCTAAGCATCGTGGCGCTGGCTGCTACCCACATGCATGCCAACATCGTGTATCAGAAACATCGTCCGACCTCTTTGAGCCGCGGCAGTGTGTACGTCGACCCAAAGACGCGACTGCATGTCTTGGTCGACACGGACGAAGCCACGATCGTGTTGGACATCGATGACGCTGACAACGACGGAGTCGACGACGGAGCCGACAACGACGGAGTCGACGACGGAGCCGACGACGACTCGTGTTTGCCGTTATAAACGGTGTAACATCTTTGGGCTTGTAGTATCTCATGGATAGGTGTAATGAATGTCCACGTAAATATAGTGACACCATGCACCGAATGGCGTCGTTGAGGCGAATTCATGCGCGTTTGCCGACGGCTACTTCATGTCAAATGGCTAAACATGTTGGTCTTGCTTGCCTTGGAATGAAGCGAAAGGGGCCCACTGCAAACCATGCAAGTAATACCACATGAGCCCCAGACAACGACTGCATTGATTCAGAGCTAGTATTAATACTGCGCCGTTTTGCCCGATAGCGTTGGCACTGTCACTGTTGCAAATTGGGGGCGTGCTCATTAGATTGGCACATAGACGTTGTGATATGCGTGGAGGTGTGCCAATTCGAAAGGGTATTGTGTCCACCCTTTAGATTCGATGCAAAACTCCATGCCGCGTGTAGGGTATGTGTTGAACACGTTCATGCCTATAGATGACCCAAAGAAAAGCTCGGGAGAGATTACTATGGTTGATTGTGGTAGAGTTAGGAGGTCTGTTTACTGTGTTTCTAATGGCACGAAATTACACTTTGTCGTTGTTGGTCGTGCCTTTCTTGACGCGTTTGCCGCGATTGAGGACCAGTCCAACGAGCTTCTTGCGCATGCTTCGGTCAATGATCGGGTCGTCTTCTGTGGCCACGGCAGCGACAGTTGCCGCCACGTCGTCCTCGTCCCGGCCCTTGTCCTTGGGAATCACGATCGAGTCTCGCTGGGAGCTGTGTCGCAGAATTTTGGCCACTTTGGAGCCCTTGGGCTGGCTCTTGGGGCGTACGCGGATGTTGCCTTGTGAGTTGTCTGCGGTAGACACGCGCAGGATAAAGTGCTCTTCGGTCTCGCTGGGCGACGGCTGGGCCAAGCTGCTGTTGCGTTTGTCGTCTCCTCCGCCCGCCATGCCGCCCCCGTGGCTGCTGGCGTTCATCGCCTCCGACCGATGCAGTTCGTGCTCGGCCTTTTCGCGGTTGATCACGTCCAGAATGCGACCGAGTTTTTGCTCCACCTGTGACGAAGTTGTTTAGAATTCGTGTGGCTATGACGTGGCAGTACCAAATGCACGAGCTCTGTCGTGGGGGTTTCGTTCGCCCGGTGAAAGTCCACGTCCGTGTCCAACTCAAGGGAGCCGCGCACGGTGCTGAGCTTGGCCATGCATTTGATCATGCACGACCGGAACGCATCCAACTAGACATTGAAAACACGATATATGATGAAAGATACATCACGATACCAAAGCATCATCATGCTCATTCGTACCAACACGTTGGCGCGATTGCACCGCTCTTGCAACGCAGATGCGTTTTTTTCAATGTCTTTGAGTTTCTCGGCCGTGTCGTCCATTTCCTGGTAGATGCCGCGGGTGTTCATGGTCGCGCCCCGCAGCGTCGCGAGTAGCTCCTGGAGTTGCTTGTAGTTGTCTCGAAGTTTGCGCATCTTGGCGTCTGTGATCGCGTGCTCTTCCTTGAGGTTGCGCAGCGTTTCTTCCCGCGACAAGTACTTGGCAATGATCTTGTCAATGTCGTTCGTGCCCGCGGCCTCGCTCAATCGTCGCAGGTCCGCCTGCCATTCCAACCACCAAGTTCAAATTCCATCATCCGTCGTTCATTCCAACCCGCCAAACACAAATATCATTTTTTTCAGTCGTTCCTTCGTTCACTGCCATTCCAACCCTCAAACATATCCTGCTCGGTCGTTCACTCGTACATTCCCACCCCCAGTCAAATATATATATCATATATGGTCGTTCCTTGGGTCAGTATCATTCCAACCCCCAATTTCAATGTGCTTCATCATCATCCATCGTTTGTTCATATACAAAACCTTCACCTGGAGTCTTAATCTCGTACCTCCAGAGTCAGCAGCTTGGCGTCCGTGGTCATGAGCTCGTTCTGAATTTGCGTGAACTGGACCGCCTGCGTCTGGCTTTCTTGGCGAAGGCGCTTCATTTCCCGCGCCGACTGCTCGCCCGTCACGTTTTGCGCGATTTTGCGCCGACTGGTCTCGCGTTGTTCGTGCAGTTCGTGCTTCTTCCGCGTCGTGTCTATTGCCAAGTGCAAGTCGTCGAGCGCCCGCGCGTTCTCGTCCCGAGTGTCGCTGAGTCCCTTGGCCAGCTTCTTCTGCAGTGCCTCCGCTGCGCACTTTTCTTGCTGCAAAGCGCACAACCGCCAGATTCAGCCGTCACATGATGACGACAAATCAGAGTAGACGTACCCGGGCCGCGTGCAGCGTCGCGTTCCCCGCGGCGAGGTCGTTGTCGAGGCTTTGAAGTTCCTTCTCCTTGCGCGTGCTCTGCTTCTTCCCTGCTTGCACCTACATATATACATCGTCATGCCATGTCCCGATCATTAGGACGTGAAGAAGTGTATCGATATGTAGTTCCACAACGTACTTCAATAGACAACCGTTGGATCATGTGCGTGTACACGCCTTTGTCGGCGGTCTCGTCTTCGAGTTTATTTTCGATCGACTAGTGGTGGACACGAACAAGGAAATGTGTGTGTGTCAAGATCGTCATGCCACGGTACCGCAGATCGGTTTTCGAGGTTCATGGCTTTGGATTGAATCGTCATGCCGTCCACTTTGCGGCTCGACAAGAGCGACGTGACTTCCTGCAGCGATTCTTGCAGTTTCTACGATAGTTCGATCATACGTGCTAAGGTCACACAAAACCGCATTCTCCCTTCACCTTGACTTCGTGTTCCTTCTTCATGTTGTTGCTGCGAACAGTGTCGTACTCCTACTCCCATTGTCAGTTTGTGTTTATCCAGCCTTTGAACGATATCAAGGTTCGCACTCGGCGATACGCGGCGACTTCGTTTGCTTCCTTGTCCACCATCTGCAATTCCTCGCCAAGACCAATGCCCAGCGATCCTAGGAACGATTGCACCGACGGGGCGGTCACTTTGCTACGCAGCATAAACGACGTCAATCGCTTACGTGGGGCGAGGTTTTGTTCGTGTACCTCTTGGATGTACTCTTCTTTGGCGAACTCACGGAATTGCTGTCGATGTTGGCTCCACCCGTAAGCAGCCATCGCTGTCGGCCACCAAACGTCCCTCGTGTTCGTTCTGTCTGAGACCCGTCCATGAGAGACTCTGACGCTCTTGCTTCAGGCTCGTCATGATGGTCCATCCTTCGACTCCCGGCGTCGTGTTGATGCCACTTGCCTGCCTGCGTTGCGTCGTTTCGCCGGACTGGCGCGAAACTGCCACTGCCTGAACAGTTTCGTCTCCGGATACGTATGATATTCCGAATGACCTCAAAAAAGGTGATAAAGCGATGAAAAATTAGATCAGTATTGTGCACTCAATCAGGAAACTGTGGGCTCCTTTCATACAATACATTCTCAAACACGCATGCAGTGCCAAGGGCGCTTGGCTAGGTGGAAATGGAGAAGTAACCTATGGCTACGTGGTTTGGCCATATTTCTTTATGCATCAAATCATTCCTCGAAGTAGATGAAGCAGTGCCTACAACATTTATAACATTACAATGAATCCGGCGGTAATTCGATAGATTGATAATCAGGTGCCTGGAATTTACATCCAAGTTCGCAAATACAAACATCTGATGAGGATATAAATATACACGTATTACTTGATATTTGTAAGGTAACCGTAATTAAATTTGAAACTTCAACACCAAGGAGGTGAGAGAGGCGGTCAACATGGGACAAACGCCAGTTCAACGATGATTGTACCAACGAAGGGTCCGTTTAATTAATTATAAACGCACTCAAATCCATATTCACGCACTTGTTGAATTGTCACCAGGTGCGTTTATGTCACGCTTGGAGTGTTTCGCCCAGTTTTACCCATCGGTGACATATCCAACATCACACATGGGGATGGTGTAGAGGATGATCACTCCGTGCACACGTCGGTATCACTTCGAGGATATTCACACACCCGGCACGAAGCAGCGTCATGAAGGGAAGTGCTGTCCTCGCCATCATGGCCTTACTGGCAACCAGCAGTAGCGCAATGCGACACAAACATGTCAAATCCAGAAACTCTTCCCCAGATCAATGGACCCTCGAGAAAGTTAGGGCCTTCAACACCACCACAACCATCGAACCTGCAGTCATCACATCGTTCGCCCCTTCCCCTACTGCAAGCAACAAGGAGCCCACGCCAGAGCCAACAACTCAGTCCATCGTCGTTACCACCGATACACCTCTCACAAAGCCACCTGCAACGACTCCTTCTCCTCCTCCGCCTGCAACGACTCCCCCTCCTCCTCCACCTACAACGACCCCTCCTCCTCCGCCTGCAACGACTCCTCCTCCTCCGCCTGCAACGACTCCTCCTCCTCCGCCTGCACCTACGAAGACCCCACCTCCTGAACCAACCCCTCCCCCAGTGACAACTTCCCCGCCAACCACAAAACCTCCCGCGACCGCGACATCACCTGGTACGAGTCCACCTGACTCGACAGCAGAATCCACACCCGCCCCTTCAACAGCAGAATCCACACCCGCCCCTTCAACAGCAGAATCCTCACCTGCCCCTTCGACTACAGAGCAACCAACTACCACACCAGTTCCAACTGACCTTCCGTTGACGTCCGACGTCCCAATGACGACACCTCGTCCGTCGGAAACTCGTTCCCCAGCTACGAATGTGCCTTCCACAACTGTCACCCCAGACCTAGACATGAATTCCACCCCCACTTCGCCGGCCATGGGTGTACCGTTGTCGGGCGCGCCTGGCCCGGCCGATGACAAGAACCAGGCCCAGAACGAGGCCGCAGGGGGTTCCGAAAACGACGGCGGCATGACTGGCATGGAGTTGTTTGCGATTGCAGGCGGCGCGCTCTGTGCGATAGTGCTGATGATGGTCGTTGTCGTGGCTCGTCGGCGGCGCAACATGTCCGCGTCCAAGGAGGGCAGTGTCAATCGATGGACAGACAACGGCGCCTTCCTCACGTCCCGCCGTAACGCGCTTCTCCTTCAGCCGCCGACGACAAGTCAGCACCCTCGAGAGTTGGATACGATGGACATGCTCAACATGCTTCAGACAGATACCCGCACCAAGTCTGTTCGATTTGCTTCCGACATTCTCAACCACCCCCGCACGTTGAACTCGATGGACTCGAACATTCTCAACGACGTCGACGACAGCATCCAGACATCGGAAACCCCGCGGTTGTCGAGCGCCTGGTCGATTGGCACGAGCGAGTTGTGCATATCCCAAGGTGAAGACCAACCAAGCACGTGGACCATGACAGACCAACCGTTGGAAGACATTGAAGAAGCGTCCGCCGATGACGACATCTCGTCAGCATTTTCTTCGTCGATGGGGGGCTCGCTAACGTTTTCGCCGTCGTCGCAAGGCACGTCGTGGTCGGGCTCGAGCGATATCTCAGTCGAACACCACACAGCGCGCGACTTTATGAGCACTGCCTCCAGTTTCGACTCGAACGACTTGATGGATACGTCCCGGTACCTCGACATGATCCACGCCGATGTGCATGTGGCCGAGGACGTGTAACGATATGCCTGAGGAACCGGACTGAGTGAGGTGTAGCCAGGCAGGCAGGCAGGCTGTGCATGAAATGTAGGTTCCGTATATTGTATCGTAGCGGGAACCATACGGTAACGCTAGCTCCATTTGTACAGAGCAAGCGTGTATACTTAACCAGTACTAGTACTTGGATTTGTGTGAAGGTAACGTTATAATCGAGATTGTGTTGATTGTCAAATCCACGACAGTGTAATATTGTGGATTCGATACGAATTTCCAGACCCCGTCGAATCTCGCCGCCGAATCGAATCACGAATCAACGCTATTGGCTAATCCAATTTTGAGTGGATTTGATTGGCTCTTACAGAAAGGACAAGTATATTCAACCAATCAGAAATCGAGCGTGATTCAAAATTGATTGAACAAATCGCGAATTTTGGAAGTTTATAGCGAATTCACAATACTACTATTAATAGGTAGTACCGTACGCATACTAGTTCCAGTGTGGGTTGTACAGTAGTGGTGATTAGAGTGCGACAACGGCAGTAGTAGTGTGGTTGGTACAGTACCGAGACATACGTGGGACGTTTGCCTTAGCGACAATAGGTAGAACCTGCACACACATAACAGCCTCCTCGGCGAGGATGGCGAGTAATGGCTGCGAATGTGAGGCTGTCGTAACATGGTTCATATAACGTTACGACGTATGTAGACCTCGCTGTCGATCGTAGAGTGCTGTCCAGCAAGGAGACGGGGACGACCACCTTCAGTCGCTACCGACGGCTGCTCGTTCAAACCAACAGCATGTGTGATCCTGGCTCTGTGGCACGCCGGCTCTGAAGCAAATCCCGTAGCCAAGTACATCCACATTTTGATCCAAATCAAATTTCGTCCATTTTTGCAATTTTCTAAAATTGATTGACGAGTTAAGGAATTCAGTGTTGCAACCCATTGGTGCAAAGTGATGCCACAGCAATTTGAAGAGCGGGTGCACTCGTCAACACAGCAATGTTCAACACCAGAGGACGGACCGACATACAGACCGCACTCTTCACAAACCCGCCCGTATTGAGTACCTCTGGCCCACACCCTGTTCATGCGTAGTGGCGTCCTTGTTCTGCGTAGACCGTGGAAGCATGCCGTCATGTACATCTTTGTGGGTGGGGCCGTGGCAGTGAGTTCCCCGCCATCCTATTCGAACGGGAACCTCACCGCATTAGTTGTATCGTTGATGGCAACAACGAACTACACCACTCAGACCACACATTCACCGATCTCGACGACATTTCGGCCCAACGTCACGACACCAAAACTTGTACCCCCCCTCGCCCGTCGAACTACTCCATCTCCGCACTTGTTCGAGTCGACTTCGCCATTCTACACGTCCCTCATTGTCGGTGTCTCGTCTTTTATGTTTGCCGTGTTGTTGGTGTGCATGGCAGTTCTGTACCGCCACCGCCGCCGCCAGCGATACAAGCCCCCGACCACGATGTCTGGGCTGTCGCCCTCTGCAGCAGACCGCCACGAGCAGCGCCTCTTCACCTCAGCTGCAGTGGACACGGTCAATAGAGAGTCGCATCTGTTGCGGATCTACCCGTCCACAGGATCGTCGTCGCGGGTCAACATGTCTATGCACGCGACGAGCTTCGTTTCGCCCGAAGTAGACATGAACGACGGCTACACGACAAACCCCGCATGGGCTAGCCTAGCTCAAGCGTTGAGTTTACCCGTCCGCGTGATTCCTCCGGCATCTGTAAAGCCCTTGCGCAAAGGATCCGAGGTCCTTGTACGCCAACATGCTACTTCATCCTCAACTATCACGTCGTGGCGTTTAACGCACTCCTTCGCCGAGCACCCCACTGTTAAGGACTCGGCTGAGCAGTGGACTTCCAAAGACCTCAGAGCTCCTCGTAATCCCCGTTAATATGCCTCCTGTTGTTACTACGTGGTACTAACTAGTACTAGTTTATTCCAAGCGTGTGTCATATCTCCCCAGAAGTCGTCGTGTTGACGTATCGAAAATGCAAATGTTTTCCGGTTAAGGTTGTGATATCATCCGGATAGAAGGCGTCCGCCGTGGGACGGCCATTTTGGGTGGAGACATAGCAATGTGGCGTCAAATCTCGGCCAAGAGCGGAGCTCGTCAGTCCCTCCGCCGCCAAGTGAGCTCCAACAATGGACCCAGCAAGCCGATCGGCCACTCCCCGGTAATGGAAAAGCCGCCTGCTGCGCCCGTGCCGCCGCCGACTAGCAAGCTCGCTGCAACTGCCAAGAAGCCCGAGTGGTCAAAGCCATTGACGGCCAAGCCGTCGCCCCCAAAGAGCAACGGCGGTGGCGCCGTGTACGCAGTGCTACTCGCTTCTGTGACTGCGACGGCTGGGCTGGGCTACTACATCCACGAGAACCCGAACTTCAACCCGAACTTGCTCAAGGACAACGATGTGTTCTTGAAATTCCGCGAGTTCGTGCTGTCGTCGTTCCCGACAGCCCGGTCAGGCCTATCTTCTACGGCCATCACCCTTCCGGAGACTTCAAAGGCGAAGCCAACGCCGTCACCAGTGGACAAAGTCAAGCTGGCCAAAAAGAAGACGGTCGAGATCAAGAACGCTGCCGACTCCAAGCAAACGTCCGACGTGAAGAAGGCGTCTACGTCGTCGGACGCTTCAATTACTCCATCTGAAGCTACTCCTCCCACCGTGGTGGTGGCGAAGGATGACGTCAAGGACGATGCCAAGGCGGATGTGGAAACTACCACCGCAACGGCAGTGACCGAACCGGCGGCAGTGGTCGCGTCGGACGACAAGGAGGACGACAACACTCATTCCATCGCGGAAGTCGCTGCTGCCATTGTCAAGCAAGCCGAACATGTGGTGGAAGTGGCCGAGGCGGTGGTCCACGAAGAGCTGCACAAGGCCGAGAAGGTCCTGCTCTCGGAAGCGCAGAAGGCGACGACGGCGCTTCAAAAGAAGCTCGACGAAGCGTCTGCCAAGGAAAAGGATGCGATCGATGAACTGAACCGGGAGCTCGTGGCGTTCGAAGACAAGGCCAAGGAAGTGTCGGCGGCCACCAAGGTATATATAATGCACAACCAAAAACTTTTCGTCCCAGCGAAAAACCGTTGACTTGTGTATGTAGAACAAGGTGGTCAAGAAGGCCCGCGCTGAGGCGGACGCTCTTGGCGAAGAGCTGGACCACACCATTCTCGCCGGCATCAAGGTCGAGACCATCCCTTTTTTGGTTGCATTGATGATGTGTGTTTTGTATAGGAGTTGGACGCCGAGAGTTTGCGGCTTCGAGTGGCCCAGCTGGCCACGGAGATGAAGAACCGATCCAAGTGGGAAGCGGTGCGGTTGATGGAATCGTTGCGTCGCATGGAAGAGGAAGTGCACGCACAGGTAGTGTAGTGTTTCAAACGTGTTTCAAACGTGTTTCCAACACGTTTCACGACGTAGCATGCAGAATTGTTGCGCCAACAAGATGTGCTGCACAAGGACTTGTTGGCCCGTGAACTGCGTCTGCAAGAAGAGGTATAATAGATAGAACTCTCCACTCGTTTCCCTGGTCGTGCCAGCCACGTCATACTATTGACATGGGTTTATATATATATAAATATATATGTCCCTAGTTGATCACCCGCACCGCTCGCCAAGAATTGGACGCGGTGCGCGCCCAACACGAATCTCAGCTCAAGGCGTTGGTCGAGTCGGAAAAGGCCGTCGTGCAAGCCGCGTTCGACCACCAGCTGGCGACGCTCCAGGCCGACGCCGACAAGAAAGTGGCGGAAACCATTGCTCAAAAGGTGCATGAGGTCCAAGCCGCTACCGAAAAGGATCAAGCTGGCCGCATTCGCGTGAGTTCTTGCTACATGGGGGGAAAGGGAAGGGCTAAACACATCTGTTGACATTCTTAGGAACTCAACGATGTCCGCGTGCAATTGAAGGCCGTGAACGAACTGCTCGGGGCTACGTCCAACTACGAAGCGTTCAGCCACAAGGTGCACAAGGTGTCTGTGGCGGCTCTGGCGCTGACCAACCGCATCGAGGCGGCGGCCCCCCTCCACAGCGAAGTCCGTGCTAAACGATGATGATGTAGATCTTCTACGCCAAGTGATGCTGATGTTGGGTTGGATAGATCAATGCGTTGCGGACGGCGGGTAAGGGCGACGAGCTGATTGAAGCGGCGGTGACGACGTTGGCCAAGTTTGGGGACGGCGCGCCGTCGGTGGCCCAGCTGCAAGACCGTTTCAAAGTCGTGCAAAAGGCTGCGCGACAGGCGGCGTTGGTGCCCGAGTCGTCCCAGGGCGGCGGCATGGTCGGCCATCTCTTTGCGAGTACGTTGGCCAGATATCGACCCGTGTCTGACTGACATTCACGATGTGTAGATGCGCTGCATTTTCTATTGATTCCCCCCGGGGGGCCCATTCAAGGGACCGATGCCGAAGCCGTGTTTTCCCGCGCCGAGTATGCGCTGCGCGGAGGAGACATTGAGTCGGCCGTGGCGGAAGTGGATAAGCTCACAGGGCTGCCCCACGACGTGGTGGCGGATTGGGTGGCGGCCGCCAAGTCGCGCCTCGCGGTCGAGCAAACGGCCAAGGTGGTCAAAGCGCACATCTCCCTGCTCGCGGCGAGTTTGTCGTAGGCAACACATGGACATTTGAGTTGTTGGCAGGGATAGCTAGATAGACTTTGTACATCTACATCGACTTTGGCCACCCAATTGTTGATCAAGAGTGTGTATGTATGTATGCACACTGGGTATGTAAATGTGTCTTGGGTAGCTATAGTCTGTAGTTTACTTTGCATTCTCTCTCGCTGGGTGTGGATGAACGAATCATACTATTATAAATAATAGGAACTACCGTCAGTACTGTACTGGTCACTGGTACTTGGTGGTATATAGTAGTAGTGTTTACAGTTAGTAGACGCTTGGTTCCCATGACCAAGTTATTGCACGGAGAGTCAACAATGTGGGGCTACATGTGGGTCGATTGTGGAGGATTCAACGACCGAGGTAGCTGCGTCGTCTGGGGTAGAGATTGTCGACACCAGATGTCCCTCATCATGTTCGTCGATTGGTTGCTCTTCTTCGTTGATGCGGCTGTTGATTGAGATGGATTCGCGGCGGAGGCGGACGTCGGCGGCCGTGAACGAGAAGCGGTGGAAGAGGCTGCCGTGATCGTCGGGGACTTGGGTTTCGTCCACTGCGACTTGCATCTTGGTAAAGCTTTCGGCAAAACAACTCGTATCCAGCGTGCCAAGACCGCCCGTGTTAGTCGCCAACAAGGGTGTCACGGGCGGCGTGATCTTTCGTTGAGCCAAGAGACCCCAGTCGATGCGCTACACACCAAACCCGGATGAACCTCATCGCAAGTCTTTCGTGTTGTTGTACGCTGAAGAACGGGTGTTGCTTGATGGCGGCGACCCCTTTGACTTTGAACATGGTCGACTTGCCCGCGCCAAGACGCTTGTCCACGTTGCGCTCGAGCAGTTGCTTCAAGATGGAGTGGGTGTCGGCATGCAGAAACTTGGGCAGCGACAGCTACACCCCCACCACCACCATGTCGTTGATCCTAACTATATCATGGAAAGGGGAAGGCCAACCTTTTCGGTGCAGATCTTTTCGAGCAGCTTCTTCCGGTTATTGTGGCGAAACGGCGGGTACCCCGTGACCATTTCGTAGATGAGCGCGCCGAGGGCCCACCAGTCGACGGCATGCGAGTACGGTTTGTTTCGAATCATCTCAGGGGCCATGTATTCTATCGGCAAAACACTGGGCTCAATGGCTATATTGACATGGACAAGGGCGGTCGGTACCGTTGGTGCCACATACAGTCTTGGCTTCGTCGTCCTATGGTGGTAAACATACAGTAATTGCATAACAAATGGTTTGTCAAAGCTATGTGTATTACCTGGGGCAGTTCCTTACTCAGCCCAAAGTCGGTGAGGCACACGTGCCCGTCAGCATCCAAGAGAATGTTTTCTGGCTTGAGATCTCTACTTGGATGGTTCAAATCGACGGTGGTGGTGCTACGATGTCACATTACCGGTGGATAATACCTTGACCGTGCAAATACTCCAACGCGAGCACCATCTCGGCAGCGTAAAAGCATGCTGTGTGCTACAACAAGACAAGACGATGGAGCAGAAGAGCGACGGAAGTGTCCATACCTCGAGGAGCAGGCCTTGCTTGTGCAGAGTGTGGAAGAGCTCGCCACCAGGAATATATGGCATCACCAGGTACACGTTGGCAGGGGTTTGGAACGCATACTTGAGCTTGACCAAGAACGGATGGTCGACTTTGGTCATGATGTCGCGCTCCGTCTGCATGTTGCCAATGTAGTTCTTCTTGACCAGGTACTCCTTGCTGACAATCTACCAAGTCCCGTGAGTACAGTAGTAGTGGTGGTTGTTGGAGAGCATGTACGTACCTTCATGGCGTAGATCTCCCCCGTTGGCCTGTGGCGCACTTGAATCACCTGGACGAAAGCCACGTATATTGACAAAGGAGGACGACGTGAGTGCACGAACCTTGCCGAATGCACCTTGGCCCACGACCACGAGCAGCTCAAAGTCCGTGGGTTTGCTGGCCGTGTCGTTGGACACTTGCGTTGCACCCTCGACATCATGCCGTTCTTTGCTACCTCGTCGCACAGTTTTGCCGGTGATAGCTGCCGCCGTCGACGTCTCAAACGCAGCCGACTCTTGTTGGATCAGTGGCCGCAATGGGTCATGCCTGGAATGACGAACCGATACACCATAGCCACTGTTTAGCCACTCATCGCGTCGTACAACCAGCTAGCTACCGTGGTGAGGACGCAATGGCTGCTTGATCTGCCATGATTGTATCGTGCTGGCACTGCTGGTTGCTGTGGCGGTGGTGACTGTGGCGCGCGTTGATGTGTAGATTGCAGTCTCAATTCGAGTGACAATTGAATCTCGCGGAGTGTGAAACACTATATTTCACAGGTATGTCATTCATTTACACAGGTACTGTACATTTGGATCCATCAAATTATCGTGTTTGCACAGGACCTGTCCATTTGGATATGTGGATAGCATGCATTGCCAGAGGTTTTCCCCGTTGGGGGTTTTGGTTGGTGGCGAGGGAAATCCGGATTGTGATTGGCTGTTCTTGTTTACTGGTGAGGAGCTACCAAAATGGCCATGCTGGGGCTCATTCAGTTCTTTTTTCTCCTGACCTCGACTGAAAAAGATGGCCAAGCGTAAGTGAATGATAGTGTCAACATGCGTATGATATACTCTACCTACGAGCAACATGTCCAGGACGAGCATGTACAGGTTGTTGTAATGTGTCTGTGCTCACATGGTGTGGTGACTGTAGACAAGCCCGCTGGTATCCGTTGCGCTCGCAAGCTGCGTGTCCACCGCCGTTCGCAAAGATGGCACCAAAAGTCGTACAACAAGTCGCACTCCGTGACTGCCATGAAGGCCAACCCGTTGGGTGGTTCGTCCATGGCCAAGGGGATCGTCTTGGAAAAGATTGGTATTGAAGCCAAGCAGCCTAACTCGGCCATTCGTAAGTCGGTGCGTGTGCAATTGATCAAGAACGGCAAGAAGATCGCCGCCTTCGTGCCCCGCGATGGTTGCTTGAACTACGTCGACGAAAACGACGAGGTGTTGATTGCCGGGTTCGGTCGTCGCGGCCACGCCGTCGGTGATATTCCCGGTGTCCGTTTCAAGGTGGTCAAGGTCTCGGGTGTGTCTTTGTTGGCCTTGTACAAGGAAAAGAAGGAAAAGCCCCGCTCTTAAGTGCAACCCACGACGATGTCGTCGCTGTCGTCCTTTTGCTCGTGGCGGGTGTAGCTTGGTAGCCATGCCGACGGTACTTCGCCAGCTGCAATTGTGCCTCTTGGGAGAATAATACAGGAACAATACCAGTCATATCGCTTGTTGTCATTTGCAGTGTTCACGTGCAATGATTACGCCAAGCTAGGTAGGCTATATATACAGCACAGGTGGCGACCGATACGACAAGTCGTCCAGATCCTCGACATGTACTGGATGGGGACACCTCGCTAGCTCAAGGCAGGGCTGGCGTAGTACGTACTATTAATAAATAAACGGGCGAAGTTTGCACTGTGTACTTTTCATGGCATGCCCTATTACTAGTAGTACTACGTAGTACTAGGTACGGTAGGAATAGACTACAGTATACTTACATGTTATACAGGTCTTGCCTCAATATGTACCGTAACACGGTCGTTTGAATGAAGTGTGTATTGTGTGGGTTTGTTGTCGGGTCGAGAATACTGAATGTCATAAGTTAAAATAAAGGAGGCAGGCACTAGACGTCGCGGAGTTCGCACACGGCCTGCGGCAAGTCGCCGCGCTTGCAGTCTTCATTGAACCACGTGCGCAGGTCCTGGGGCGTCCACTCGCTCAGCGTGCCATACAATGACTTGACGTCAAACACTTCCGTGTCGCGGATGCTGTAGCCAACATCTGACTCGCCGTGTTGACCATTGTGCTGGCTCTTGACGTACACGATGCGGTTGCGCTTGGGCATGGGGACCACCGACCGCGGTACCGCCTTCTTATACGGCTTGGCGGTCGTGGGGGCATGCGAAATGTGCTCTAATCCCACCGGCACCACTTCGACGAGCAGTGTGGCGCTGGCGATACCTTTGAACTGGAAGTACCCGTGGTCTTTGAAGTAGAACGGCAGCCCCCCCCCGGTTTGGCCGTCCGAGTACGACGCTGCATCCGTCATGAAAGCCTTCCATGCGTCCCCACCCAGCATGATCTGGCCGCCGTGCGCCGCCTTGGCGATGCGCGCCGTCTGGTTGACGATGTTCCCAAAGTAGTCGGCGCGGCCGCTAGACTTGTGTGGACTCACAGACACGGGCACGCCCGTCTCAATGCCCATGGAAATGCGAAATTGAATGCCGGTCGGGTCTTGGCGAAAGAGCTTGTACACGTGCTTTTGCACTTCACCGCACCACGCAATTGCATCCGCTGGCCTGAAAAACGCCAACATAAAGTCCTACAAGTCATACCAGGTTAACGTCATTTCCAAATGTATCTATTTGTCGTCGATCTGCACCATGATATATATATAAGGCACGTAAATATAACGATATAAATCAATCAATGCAATTGATGCAAATATGGAATATCAAACAAAATTGTTCACATTTAATTCCATAGTGCAAAGGTACGACAACGATGGTACTACGTAGTATATATGTACCACGCCAACAATATATATATATATATTTGTACCCATCAAACCAAACATACAAAACATTCTACGCGTCCGAAAACAACATATTTTACAACAACTCTATCGTTTGTGAACATGTATTCCTTGAATGGGGAAAGAATATACCTTCCAAAAATAATATATCCGTATATGACCGGATGGAGGAAACACTGACTACTAGGTACTAACTACGCAGTACTACTACATGTAGTATCCATTTTTACTACAGTAGTAACATGAACAAAATGTAATATAGCACCCTCAAAATCACATCCAAACACACAAAATGAACTACTGTCGATTTGATACAAATTTGGGGAGGGGGTGTAATCGAATCGCGCCGACCAAACCGATCCACAATCGATCTGATTGGTTGAATTTCATTGATAATGTTTTGATTGGCTAATAATCTTGAGCTCATCTGAGGTAGCCAATCAAATCGATTTAAATTCCAACGAGAAACCACAACACGAAATTTCACTCGAAAGCACAATATACAAATTCACTACTCTAACAAAAATAATATACATACCCCTTGCAGTTCCTGGCACTCGTAGCCGCGGTGGGTGCGGAGAAACTTTCTCGACAACTTGCAAATGGTCTTGACTCGAGACACCAATGCGTGCGCGTCATTCAACATGAGCGACCGCGCGCCTTCGATGAACGTAAACACCATCGTGACTTCACCGGCGGCCGTCGGCGCATCGCGCATCGCCGGCGCCAACTGTGTTACCGACATGAGCGGTAGAAAGTGGCGGTCTTCCAGATGCTTGGGCAGCAGCTGAAACAACTGCAGCGAATGCCCCCCCACCACGTGCTTGCCGAGGTCTTCCACAACGGGGTTGCCCAGTTGCACCAGTTGCTCCTTGAGTTTCTCCCACACGCCGTCGCTGAGCGCGATCTGGCCGCCGTGGACGCACTCGCCAATGAGCCGCACGAGCTCCCGGGGATTGTGCTCGGGGGATGACGCCGGCATGTCGAGAAAAGTGTCTTCGTCTTCGTCGTCCGAGTCTGGGGACACGGAGTGGATGGCCATGCGCACACGCAGACCCCGGAACACGGGCATGGGACGATGGCGAGACATCTCTTCTTGGGCTTCGGGTGCCCGGAGGAAGCGCGGATTCCATGCTGCGTACATGAGTCCGAGCTGCATCGCAAGACACCACCGCGCAGCATTGAACTCGGTTTGAAACATCACGACAAAGTACCCTTCGCTGAACCGGAGCTCCACACCGCCGTATTCGTTGAGGCGCGACCGAATCATGTGCACGTACAACGACGTCGCTTCCTCCATGAGTTCCTGGAACTGCCGCGCCAGGCGCTGGAACGCGGCAACACTCACGTACACAAACACGGCGGAGCTGTCCATGTCCATGTCCAACTGGATGTCCTCGGACATGGTCGAGCCGGCACAGAGCATCGGTGTGTGTTGGCCAGTGCCGCCGCTCTGCAAGATCACGTCGTGGCCCATGACCACATCCATGGGCAGCAAGGCATGACCGGACGCGGTGGCAGGAAGGGGATGATACACGTCTAGACACCGCCCGTCATGTTGGCGGTGTCGGTGACTGCTGAGTCCGCCACCTGTCGCAGCCACGTATGGGTTCCCGCGACCGTTCATCGGGGATCCGAGGTCATCGTCGTCGAGGCTGTGGTCATAGAGCTTCGTAGACGATGAATTGATCAATGCAGGATTCAAGATAGATCCTTTGCCACGACCGGTGGCGAGGGAGGGGTCCTCACCTCCCGTTTGGATGTTGCCCGTGGCAGCAGCCTGGCGATCCCGGCGTCGACTCGACCGCGACTGCCCCCCTGAGCAGTTATTTCCACAACCTGCGGTATTCCCACGTTGCGTTCCTCCCTGGGAGTTGGTGTATCGCGATGCCAAGCTCACTTGGGTGGTGGTGGTGGCATTGGTCTGGTGGCCCCGTCCGCCACCGCCTGTGTTGGCCTGTGGATTGTTCGGGTACCCACCGTTCGCCGTGTTCAAATATGGAGCCAGCTCCACGACGATGTCATTCCGCGGGAGACATCGCTTCAGTAATCGTATACAGCAGTCCCAGCAGCTCATGTCGAGGACTAAGCAGGCGGCGCCTCAGCGGCAAGTTGGGTTCGTTCTCGACTGAGGAACGTTTCGCCCACGCTTCCCAGATTGGTCAGTACTGAACTTTTCTACGAACTTCGACCAGTTCTTGCCATTTGTATGAAAGCGAAGTTCGAAGCTCATATTGTTTTCAAGCCCATGAAGTGGAGGAAAATACAACCTTAAAAACACATTCACCTGTTTATTTGGGATACCAGCGTGAAATGGCCGGCAAAGGGCGTTCGAGGAGGCTACGTACTTGCATGCGACTGCTCAAGGTAGGGATGTTCAGGGGGATATGCATCAAGGGATGCTCCGGGCTACGATGATGTTCGATTGCGTAAAGTACAATGTATACTGTAGTCACCCAGCTGCAGTGTCAAGTCCACCCACCCACGTGGGTACCGTAGTAACGATGAATTGTGCGCGACAAAATGATGTGGGACACGACTTGTGTGCTCTACTGCAAACTGTACGAGTGTGTATGTACGTACACTCAATTGCATGACGTGATTTTCCCGAGAATGTCCTAATACCGGTAGTGCTACAGAAGTGCTGACGGTACAAAATCTTAGTCCTTTCATGTCATTACCTGGTATTGTACTTATTTGAGAGTGAGTAGAGATGTGGATGCCATTGATCACGAGCGTTGCTAATTGTGTGTTTGGAGCATGACGGGATCGCAAACCTGAAAGTTCGTTAGGTTTTGGGGGGATTGAAAGGGGAGGCTTCACTCAGCTGTACTAGTAATAAAGTCCCACGAAACTCCTCTACATGATTGCCTGTACAGTCCTGGGAGCATAACTTGTACTTCAAGGAATTCATTGACTTGCTATTATTGGAATTCGTGGTCTTACTTCTGATTATTACCCAATCAGAGTGCATCATAGATTCTTTGCCATATAATTGGTCAGGACCACGGCTTCATAAATGCAAAATTATATCAAGCTCCCAATGCCCCACCACTCAAATAGATCGCGCCAACATCAGCGGTACTGTATTGTTAAGTTAATTTATGCTCATCGCTACCTAATGAAATTAATACAACCACGAAGGCTCTTTCAATAAACTTGACCTGGTATTTCAGATCGATTTATGGACTTCGTAACGTGGCTCACCTTGCGAGCCTACAGTAAATAGCCTGTACTGTTTCACCTTACGAATCAGCGTACTATTAATAGTACTATTAATAGTACTACTACTACAGTATTATTAATAATACTATTAATAATACAATGAGAATATCCCTCTTTTTGATTTTCATATTTTCAAAATCACCCTAACGTTAACGACTTGCATTTGACTTCCCGTCCTATATAGGGTGTAACGTTATTGTGTTTTCAAATGGGCTGTGAATAGTAAGTATTAATATTAATAGTACTTTTGAAACTAGTAGGTACTAATAGTACTACAACTATTAATACTACTGTACCTTCGATCTTCGAACGCATGGTTCGGGTTACAGTTCCCACTCTGTGATTAAATGAACATTCTACTAAAACAATTGGAGTTGTATTAAATCATTTATTATATAGAAATAAATGATGGTTTCGAATCATGTCAACACAACAAACCCCGCCAGCACCATGTTCTCGTTCGTGACGGCCCAATATCAATGGTACAAACTCGAGTTCGGATTGACCTTGCTGTCTCCATGGGAAGTCTTCACATTCAGTACGTGTCCTTCCCCGCGATCCCCGATCTTTGGTCTGACTGATGGCGTTGTGGTAGATGCGATCGTGGTGTTCGTCCTCAGTGCCACCGCGTACTTCTCCGTTCGCGCAATATACTACATTGTGTAGATGTCGTGCTACGTAACGACTCCATATAATGCACGACATGCAAGCCCCAATAACTAGTCTCTATCCCATTTACACGCCATTCGTTGTTGGAGTTTGGTCAAGTGATTTTATGTTCTTCGTCCGCTCGGGCGTTCTCATTCAAGCGGGCAACTACGTATTACCTGGCAGCTTCTGGCAACCTTTATGGCATATTTCAAAGCCGTGGCATACCTTGCCGTAGGTTGTTCGTTTCATTTCGTGTGAAACCGATCGTGGTCTCAAAATACTATCACTTCAAAACGAGCGCCGCCGCCACCAAAACGTCCTACATGGCGGACGATTTTGACTGCGACGACTTTGAAAGTGCGTTGGATATATTCTCTTTGGTCGTCGTGCGCTACGACCACGTCGTCGTCCTTCGCCTCTTGTATGGCTGACCTGGGGACTTGGCGGTAGAAACCCTCAAGTTGTGCGTGGTGGGCAACGGCAACGTGGGCAAGACGAGCCTCACGACCCGGTACGCCAAAGGCCGGTTCACCGACAACTACAAGAAGACGATCGGCGTCGACTTTATGGAGCGCGTGGTGACTGTCGATGGCGAGGACATCCACTTGATGATCTGGGACACGGCTGGCCAGGAGGAGTTCGACTCGCTCACGAGTCGGTACTACCGCGGCGCGGGGGCCGTCATGTACGTGTTCTCGACCGTGGACCGCGACTCGTTTGACGCGCTGCCGTCGTGGCAGCAAAAGGTCAAGCACGAGTGCGGCCCCTCGATTTGCCAAGTGCTCGTGCAAAACAAGATCGACTTGGTCGAAGACGCTGTCATGACAAAGTAGTTTTTTCCGTGTTGTTAGATGGAGAGCGATGACGAACCCCCATGTGAAGAGAAACAATGGTGACGATGGTTGGGTTGTTTGTAGAGACGAAGTTGACGACATGAAGGAAGACATGCGCGTGCGAGTGTATCGCACGTCCGTGCAAGACAACCAAAACGTCGAAGAAGGTTCGTCATGGCGCTTCCGTGGTCAAAAATCGATGATTGTGTGACACGAGGGGGGGTGACGTAGTGTTTGAATATTTGTGCCGGCGGTACCTGAAAAAGAAAGCGCCAGAGGAGGCCGCGGTTTCCGACATTGGCGGCGGCGCGGCCTCCCCGACCAAGAAAGCCAAACCAAAAGACAAATCAAGTCGCCACCAGTCCAAATCCGAACGAGGGGACGGCGAAGCCCCCACAACACCCAAGTCTAAAGTCTCGACCAAAGCCAAGTCGAATCGATTCAAAGGCGGTGACGACCACCACGGCCTTTCATTTGACGATATTCGCCTTGCGTTGCCCCCGAACGGCGAAGGGGACCATGTCCAGCGCATCGACGACGACCTCCAGAACGATGATCAAACTGACAGTCAACGTCCCCCCAAAATAAGTAATCCGCACGAAGACGAAGAAGCTAGCAGCAGCATGCCTCCCCATTCGTCGGACATTCCCGACGACGTGGGGGGAAGCGGGGCAGCTCTAGAACCGAGCAAGCGCCGCACCAACGGCAAAAAGAAGGATGCGTGTATAATTTCCTAAGAAATAACGACATATGTTTCTATATTTAGCACGTCGCTGTTAACAACACGTAGTCTTCAACATCATGTTCACGTACAACCACATCACGGGGGCGAAGCTGTGCTACATGCACGTGCCAGTGGAGGTGGACGCATTCTCTGTTAGGGAAAAGCTCCAACAGGAGCATCGCGAAGCGAAAGAAGAGAGGCAAATGGCGTGGGAGGATTACTTTGCAGCACAATGGGGCAAGGCCGAGCGCGAGGCCACGACCAAGACCCAGCAGCGTCTGCAGCACCAAATCGAGCAACTATCCACGGTAAGCAAGTGGTGCGCATCGCCCTCAACTTAACCTTTTCTCCATGTAGATTACCGTAACGTCGCGCAACTTTGAGCTGTGGAACACGGCGATCGAGCGCAAATATTACGAATATGTCTCGTACTCGTTGCAAGACCTGGCGATTCGCGACACATTGCTCACCAACGTGCACTACGGCCTCACCCCCCTCGCCCGAGCCTGCACAATCAAGGACTACCGCCTCGTTCGAATATTGCTCGCGCACGGCGCCGACTCCACGGCCAAAACCCCGTCCAGCCCTTACGGGTACATGCAATCCGTCTTCCGCGCATCCGTAGCCGACGTCCGCGTCTTTGAGCTCTTGGTGCAGTCCCTTCCCCCGTCCCCCGAACTCGAACTGCGGGGGCTAGACGACGACGGCCTCTCGCTGATGCATTTGGCCGCGCAAGGGGGCTTTGTAGATGTCTTGGAAAGGCTGCTGGCGTTGCCCATGACTCACGACCTCGTGGATACAACCACCCCCAAGAACAGGTACACGGCACTGCACTATGCTGTCGCTGGGGGGCACGTCGCGTGTGTGGTTCTGTTGCTGCGGCATATGGCGCCTTCGGTTGCCGCCGCGATGACATCGGACGGGCGCAATGCCCTGCATCTAGCTCTGCGGGTAGAAGGCTCGCACTTTCACCTGGAGCAGCTCGTGGAGAGTTTTGTCAGTGCCAAGTACGTGTTTCCACAGTGTTTGACTGGCGAATGTGCTCTTATACGATGGTGGGGGTATGCAGTTGCGACTCGTGTCTGTTTGAAGCCATCGACCCAAACGGCGCGACTGCATTACATTTGGCGGTTGGTCAAAACCTCGAGCGGATAGCCCTGCGCTTGATTAACCTAGGGAAGACCCCCATGAACGTGTGCACGAAAGGGGGGGTGGCGGCTCTTCACTTGGCCGTGATGGTGGAAAATATGATGCTGGTCCGGGCGTTGCAGCACCACAACGCTATGATCGACATCATGGACGACAACGGACAAACCCCCTTACTTACCGCGGCTCTTTTGAACCACACGGTATGTATTTATGTTGTAGCTGTGAACGATATAAACATAACGGTCATATCAGGAATGTATTCGGCTGCTCCTGGATTGTGGTGCGGACGCGGGGTGCCAGAATAAGGAAGGCCACGCCCCGCTGCATTATTTGGCATCGTATTGCACGGACCCAGACACGTTTCAACTGTTTTTCACCAAAGACGTGGACGTCAATGTGAAAAGTGCCAAGGGCAATATGCCTTTGCACTTTGCCGCCATGAAAGGCAATGAGGTAAATCCATATATATCCAGTTTGAAATCATGGTTTAAACTGACGATGCTCTCCTTGTAATATCAATTAGGTGGCCGCGAAAATTCTAGTGCAGCATGGCGCGGACGTGTCGATCTTGAACGAAGACAAGCGTAGTGTGATCTTTCTCGCCAGGCAATGGGGGTACTACATCCTTTGTAGGAATACGTAGAGGCCATACGCCTTTCTCCTTGATTGATGGAACTTGTGATGGTTGAGTAGCCACCTTCAGCTGGAAGAGTACTTCAAGCTCGTCGTGAAAGACTTGGCTGAAGTGACGCCGCCATCCTCGGACCACAACGACCAAGCAATAGACGACAACAGCGGCGGCAGCCACCATCGCAAAACCAAGGCCATCGGGACCCGAGAACCGCTGAAAAACAAAAAGGCGGGGGTGACGCTGCCCAAAGTTCGCCCTGTCACTGCTGTAGACCCCACCAGTACGAGAGAGTATGACACCGACGCCGAATCGGACCCCTGTCGCCATCCGTGGACGGCGAAATCGCCGACTCGACATGTCTGCATGACGCCGTATGTCAAGCGACAGCTGTTTGGCCGCGTGCGAGCCCCAAACAAACCCGCGGATCTCACCGACGAAATGGACGAGTTGTTCCTATACAACCAGCCCCCCAAACCTGCCCCCGAGCACCCCCAAGCCAAACACATGGTATTTTTCGTTCGAGCATCGAATCTACGTGACATCATGGGTCTCTTAGCTGCGACGGTGTAAAACTGGTGTCAACATCCCGTGGCTGGCAACATTGCCGTTGGCATCTGACACGTTGGAACGACGGTTAAAGCCGTCGACCCAGCACCAGCTCAATGGCTCGAACCATGTGAAGAGCATGCCTGAATTACGAGCCGAGTTTCAATTCGCACGGAGGTTGGTGTGGCAAGAGAGCGCCGTGACGCGACGGTCGCGGCACGCCCTTCGAAGCCCCACGATACGTCACGCCCCCTCGTCGTTCGTCGCTGTCATGACCCAGAAAGTATTTCACAACACGTGAAATAATTCTATTTCCATCATAGTTTTATCGTTATGGTTGGTCGTCGTTTAACGAGCTGCCTTTGGCGACGAGAACCACGCGGCCACGCTGAGCCGTGGCTGCCACCACGTCCAACTTGTCTTGCTGGGATTTATCCCACTGCAGTGTACACCGAGGGTCGCCGCGAGTTGTGCGCAGCTTGTGCAGCGCTTTGAGCTCGTGGACGCCGGGACAACACACCACCAGCAGCAGCGACTGCGGTGGAAGGTCCGCGGCGATGTCGCGCACGAGCTCGGATGCTTTGGCCGGACACGCTGCTTGGCCCCATGTGAATGTCGGCGGACATCCGGTGGTCAGTTGGTGCCCGACGTGGTGGAACACAGTGTCGGGAGAGGTGCACGGAATGGCGGCGGCGGTGCCCCCTGCGAGCGTGCGGCATGCGGCGGCAGTGTCGATGATGAGAGCCGACTTCTTACGATGGGCCAGTTCTGTGAGTAGTTTGCGGGGATGGTTATCTTGGGCGATGATGGACGGAAACAGCGGGCCACGCTTGACCTTGAGCTAGGTTGTGGTGAGTTTATAGGACCAAGAGATTTATTTCTCTTTTATATAACTTTCGTCAAATGTGACGTAGTTGAAAGAAACCTTTGGACCAAAACATAGATACATGTATCCATCACCATACTACCTGGAGGAGCTTCATTGTCGACATAGCATCTTCGACACTGCAGTGTCCGTCGTTGCCGGTTTGAATCTGGATTTTGAGGTAGGTACTGGACAGATATCGCAGCGCAGAACTACACGACACGCCGACCATGACGATTGTTTATAGATACACCCTCCATCCACAACCACAAGCGGGATTACCGGAAGGGAGGGCCTTTTGGATGGGGGTACAGCAGCACTGTATCAATGACACGACGGTGGATGAGACGCAGGGCCGAGAGATCGTTTTCTAAGGAATGGCCCACGAGGATAGTTTCGGCAGGGATCAACGCCAGCAGACTCGCTTGGATCTGTTCACCAGTCAACGAACTCTACGACAGGAGACGAAGTACCTACCGAGGCCAGTGTGTTGGTGCATCCATCCAGAATTTCCCGCGTGATACCTGAGTACTGCGTGCAATAATCGACAATGGGGTTGGAGGGCAGAACAAACTCATCCAAGACAACCTAGTGAACGTGGTCACCACGACTATGTATGTTGATAGTATACTGAAGTACCTTGTGCTGGTCGTCTACGATGGACACTCGGGTGAGCTCGACGCCTTTGGTTGTTTTGCACATTTCGCAATCGATGGCCAAGAGAGGGTAAACAAGTGGCTGTCCATCCTCCAGTGGTTTCGACTCTACGTATGTGTGATCGGAGGTCGCACTTGGCACGACGGGCACGATCTTGGCCAGGTCGGCATCGACGGCAAGATAGAACTCCAGACCCATGGCACCGTCGTGGTTCTTTTTGAACTTTTTGATCTTGTTCCTGACGGCTTTCTTGGTCTGTTTCTTTGCCGCGTCCTTGACAGTCTTGGACACGGGAGCATACAGCAGCGTGGCTTCGCACTTCGGAATGGCGTCGCCTTCGGCCAACCGCACAGCAGCCAGTTGAGTTGTGACTACATTAGTACCCAGGCCATCGATGGCAGTAGTCAAGGCATCGGACGGAGTGTCGTGGAGGACAAGCACGACCACATGATTTAGCCCAGCAGAGCCGTCATCGTCCAGAAGTTTGTCCATGAGCACATCTCGAACACTGGAAAGGAGAGGTGTGGTCTCATTTGCTGTCAATGCATCAAACGACGACAAGAGTTCCGCCTGCCAAGTCAACGTATCGGCGGCGGGTCGCTTGGTGCCCATGGTTTGTTCGTCAGAAAGTGTGAATTCGAATCGGATTGGCTCGTGCCCGTTGAAAAACATGAATATTAACCAATAGTAGACAGTGCGTTCTGAAACGGTGTTTTGGGTCAAATCCATGCATTAAGGTATGACAACAGTATTTATCCTACTGAGCACCAGGTAAATCAAACGAGTCAAATGAAGCAGCTCCTGCCTTGGAGGCTGATGCATGTTGTGCAGCGTTGAGAGGCATTGATTGGAATGCTGGGGCAGGAGGGGCGGGAGCAAACGGGTTGAATCCCCCTGGCGAAGGAGGGGAGTCGACCTGATGCGTGGACGCCGTGGCATATCCGGGCAAGTCTCCCATGCTAAACTCCATGAACCCCCCATTGTCCTCAAACGGATTGTTCGAGGAAGATGTGTCCAGAGGGGAACTGGCAAAGTCGAGCACGTTGACGATGCGATTGCTGCAGTTGGTGTTCACAATATGACTGTTGCTGGTACGAGCTTGCGGTGGTGGCATCGACCCAAAGTCGCCATGGCTCGATTTGTTGGATCCAAAAGATGTTGGCACTGGGAACGACCCAGCGAATCCGCCATTACTGCTCGACTTGTTGGAGCCAAAGGAAGATTTCGGAGGCGAATCCGTGAAATTTCCCCAGGGCTCATCCATTGTGGCAGGTGCTGGCGGTGACTTGGCTGGACTCGTCGACTCGGACGACCCGACAAAGTCGCTGAAGCTCAGTGTGTTGACTTGTATATTGTCGGACGCGGCAATGTGCGTGCCGCTGCCTCGTGGAGCTGGCTTGTCCCCCGACGCCGCGTGCCCATTCACCGCAAACGATTCCAAAGCCGCCAAGTGCTCGTCGTAGCTCGTGATGGACAAGAGCGGCTCCATTTTCTTGGTGGCTTCGAAGATCGCAGCGCTATAATTCGTGCGGAACTCAATGACCTAATTACAAAACCAATCGATTTCGTGTGAGTTCAATGCTCTGTATATAATTCCCAATATGCCACGCCAATATCAGCGAGTGATTCTTAGCTCGACTGCTTACCCGTTGGACGAGGGGCAACAACGTCGAGTCGCGATGCGTCAAGAAATCGCGCAAGTGCTGAATCGTGGTTTCCGCAGCGTGGTTGTATTCCTTTGTGATCGCCACCAGTTTCTGTTCGTTCTACTCGACAACGACACATGAGTTAATGAATATGTGACGAGTAGTACTGTAGTCGTCATTCCACACTCGACGCACCCGCACGAGTTTGTCGACTTCTTTGCCCTTTTCGTGCTTTCCCGCGCCCGCGCGCTTGTTGTGCGCTTCTCGCAGCGCCAGCACCTTCTTGTTGTAGTGGTCGAACGTGATGTGGGTCTCAGTAAACTCACTGCACTCCTTGTTCAGCAAGTCCACTTGATGCGTCCACCCCTGAGCGGGTGCTTGAACCCGAGTCTCAAACGTCTTGGCCTACACAGTACCACGTAGCCACCATTGAGCCCACACTATGAGACGTATGTGTCTACCAGTTCGGTGACTTGGGTGACGTCAATGTTGATCGAACACGCTTTGAACACGTCAATGAACTGCTTGACTTCGGGCGACTCGGATGGAATGTCTGATGCAACAACAATACATGAACCCTCAATATGAGGCTATGGACGAACCAGTGCATTTGAAGTTGGACACGTCTTCAATGGCTTGGTTCAGGACGTTCGACGCGGCGTGGAACCCTGCGATTTATGATACTACAACTACTTGTTGATAGCGTCGACGTACGGTACCTCGAAGCGACGCCAAGTACCCCTTGAGGGCGTTGTCGAGGTTCACAATCCCCGATTGCATGTGCTCAAACCCGGCAAAGGCTTGCTCGAATTGCACATTCTTACTTGGCTTCGTGGCCCCGAGCTTCGTCAGCAACTACGTAAGCACACCACGACACAATCATACGATGCACGTGCTCTGGTTGGCTACCTTGTTGGTCGCGCGCACTCGAATCGACGACATGTTCTCGACCCTTCTGCACTAGACCGAATATGCCGTCACCCACGGCAAATCCACGGGTATTTATAGATATGACTGCACCATGCCAACCGACAGTATACGAAACCGCTTTCCGAATGCCAAGAACAGCAATATCTTGGAAGGAAATTCGTTTTGATTTATTCAACTAACAGTGATTGTCATTCAAGTCGTTGCTCTTCTTCCCGTTGCTCCAACGGGGTCTGGCGCCACACGAACTCTTCGATGAGTTCTGCGCTGTCGTGGCGCCCTTGGCTGCAGCTGTTGGGGCACGTGTACACGACAAGGGTGCCCCAGTCCAGTTCATGCTTGCCGGCATTGGTGGCGGCCAGCGACTCGATCGAGTCCTCTCCAGACAGTTTCAAGTGATACAACAGTTGCGGCATCACCTGGAACTCAAACAGTCGGGGCTCGCCGCAGCCAGCACACACCGGCACGTCCGTCGGCCGGTCGGTCGAATGCACCCACAGCACCGCGTCTTGTTCAATGTTCCACCGGCAATACCGCAGCACTTGGTCCTTGGCCATCGCTACCCGCGTCAAGAATGCCAGGTACGTTTTGTCCACTGCCGGCGACGACCCCAGCAACGAAGACAGATCTTTTTGGGAAATGTCAATGGCAGAGTCATCCGTGAACACGTCGTCGTTGGTGGCGACACGCCGGGAGGTTTGGGCTACCGAAAACCACACGATCAAATACAACTGTGAAAATATAGGCCCAATAGTGTGTACCTTGTTCAAAGTCGTGCATCATCTTGGCCTCGGTGCTACAGTGCATCACATGTCAACAAGTCAGCTAAACATGCACGGGGTCACATACGCCGTATGAGCCACCGACGTGGCGGGTTCAGGATCGATGTGGATTGCATATTCGGGAAAGAGGAACTTGGACCCGTTGTCTTCTAGGGCAGTGGCATGGGCGACGTCTTCGAACAGCTCGTGTGTCGCCAAACTACGCAGCGAGTCAGCCGCCATATCCATCTCGTAAGGCTGGGTCGTACCACTGAGGACAGTCCTGCTTATGGCCGTGCTTCCAGTGGTCCTTTTGATGTTCCTTGGAGCAATAGTGCGCGACGTGGCATGCGCTGCACGAAAACGTGGCCTTGAGTCCGCACAGCGCACATCGATGGAGAGACTTGTTCACGTGATCGAGCGGTCTGTAGTTGATGTCTTCGTGGTTGGCGTAGTACAGGTTGTCCTGTGGCAACTGGCTCCGAAACGTACGGGCGCTATACATTGCACAGTCATTCATGCCATCCTAGGACGGCTGGACGTACTGGCCGAGACGAGGACAGTCGGTGGTGCGACAGCAAAACAAATACAGAGACCGATGGAACGCTTGCTCTGGGTGGTCCAGCGGACAGTAAATTTGCAGCAAGAAACTCATGTTCTTGTCGCATCCGCTGCACTTGATGTCCACATGGGTGTTGGGATGAAGCCACACAGGACTGCCACCGACCTTGCCGCCATCCCACTCGCCAAACGGGCCGTACAGATGTGCTTCCTTCTCCCCAAGGAAACCCAACTCGACCTCCATGTCTCCACCCTCAAGCTCGAGATCTTCATCGTCTTCGTCTTCGTAATTGGTGGGTTCGAAGGAAGCGTCCTCGTGTGCTGATGCTTCTTCCAGCACGACGCTGTCCGGTGTGACCACGCTCTTGTCGGCCATGTTGATGTTGATTGTTGGAAGTCGTTCACGTTGTTGCTACGGACTTTGATTGGTCGTCCAAGTCGAGATCATTTTAGCCAATTGGATATCGTGACACTCCCATTATCCCATTATTCACAGTAAAATACTTTACAGGTAACAACGATACTTTTGCGAGGGGAAATCTCTGACTTGTCCCTTGGTTCCACCATTCGATAAAGTACTTCAAAGTACTTTTTCGCACGCTTGAAAAGGCGTACGTTTGCGAGAGGACGAGTGTCGTCGGGGTGGTACAGTAAGAAGAAATTGCAAGCACCATGATGCAAGCAACGGCGGCAGTGCATCGGATGGACATTGATGACATCCAGGACAGAGAAGACATGGAGATTGAGATGGCAGAGCTAGGTCTCTCCGGAAGCCCCAACCTCCACAGCAGCGGCGCCAAAGTTGATGTCGAATTGCGGCGGAAGCTCGAACGGGAAACGATCATGAAGCATGACTCAACACAACTCAAGTTCAAGGACGCGTGGTTCTTCATTGAAACTTCATGGATGGACATGTGGATGAACTTTGTTCTCCATGATGGTCCGCTTCCAGGCCCGTTGTCGAACCAGTCGTTCTACACCCGCGACAACACCCTCCGCAAGGACCTGGTTGTCACCAAGCACTACCGGTGCGTGAACCCCCGCGTGTATGCGATCTACTCGGAGATCTACGGCACTGGCGGCGCCTTCCCCATCGCTCGATACACCCTGGACATCTACGCGACGCCTATCTTGCGCGACGACGTGTTGGAGATCCTCAAACTTCCCGAACTCAGCGCGCGAGTGGCCGTGACTGAAATGCGTGAGCAATACGAAGAATGGCCAGAGGAGCCCGAGGTGGTGATGGGGTGGTGCAGTTGGATGTACCAGTGCTGCTGTCTCTGTGATCGGCTGCCGACGGTGCTGGGTCGGGTCTTTGGCGGTCCGACGTACGCCGCCGTGGATACCGCAGCCGACAAGACACGAAAAAAGTCGTCCAAAAAGCAAAAAAGCAAGCGCCGGCACCACGACGAAGAAGATGGCAACGACAGCGACACCGACACGGAAGAAACCAGCTCGTTGCTCACCGATGATCGAGACTAATCCCTATAATACACACACTTTCACTAACAACACTACTATGTACAGTAGTAGTCGCCATAGTAATCATGTAGTACTAGTATGTGCTATGACTACGTTAGCATTGGCACAGTACTAGAAGTTTGGGGCGCTCCACCCTCATCGTTGGTGCAATGTGCACAGAAAATGGCTTTGATTAAAGATCATGCATAATTATTGTGCTTTCGAGTTGGAATTTAAATCGATTTGATTGGCTACCTCAGATGCGCTCAAAATTATTAGCCAATCAAAACCACCTTCTCAATGAAATTCAACCAATCAGGTCGATTGTGGATCGGATTTGTATCACTGTTATCTTTATTTGAATGTTTTGTCTTTACAAGGCGGCAGCGTCGGCAATGTCTGGACCACCCGAATGAACACTAGCGACCCAAACACGAGTCCGAGGAGGGTGCCCATGGTGACGTCGACGGCGTGGTGCTTGAAGTCTGTCACTCGGGTGACCGACACGGCGAGGGCCAAGAGGAACGGCACTAGGGCCGGCAGGAAGAGCAGCTGGCGACACAGTGCGGCTGTGCGAGGAGTCACGCGCGACTCGCGGGCGTAAATCGTCCACAGTGCATAGATCTAAAAGACATGCGACGAGGTTATATGGCTCTTCGTGAAATCATAGGACGTACAGTGGTGTACCAGCCAGCGGCCGTGCCGGTGGAGGAATGTCCGGACGGAAACGAGAGCATGGACTTCTCAAAGACTTGGGATGCCACCGAACATTCGTATGACGTGGCGTTCACCAACGTAGGTTGGCACACGGCCGCAAAGTTGGGACGCAAGTACCCCACGCTGAACTTGATGAGTTCGGTCGCAGCAATCGTCAGCAGCACAGCTTCCAGCACCCCCAGCCACAAGTTGACCAACGTCACGTAAAAGTGCCTTTTTAGTGCCGAGTGCTGCAAAGTGAACTCGAGAACGACGGGCACGACGATACCGATGGCAGCACTAAGACCGATGAGAAGGGGATATGAAATCGTATCCTCGTGAAGCGGGTGCGTCGTTGTTTCACCTACGACGATGCAAGGTTAGGTGCCCAGTTGAGCCGACGAGGTTGCAACGCACTGATCGTTGGGTTGTACGTGTGGTAGTAGCGAGGGCTTGGAGACGTACGAAGCGACCATCCAGCCACAATCGCCCACACGATGATGGAGATCAATGGGGAGATCCACTGAACCTCTTTCCACAGAGGGACAGCCTTGGCGGGGCCGCCTCCGTCGCTGGCGAAGCTCATCATTGCAATGTTGACTTGGTGTGAGAAGCTATTTATGTTCGAGCTCGACCAATCAAAAGCGCTGAAACTGAAATGCCATCCTGTTGTATTATATTTGACAGGTTGACTTTCAAGCAAAAATAGAATACTTTTGGCAGTTAACAAAATGTAAACAGGTTTTTACATTTTGTACCTGACATGATTGATGTAACTATTATTAATACTTTCGTGACCAATTTTGGCTCTATTTGAGCGTATTTTCATTCCACAATCTAGGAGCGTAATCTCAACGTTGGGCTCTGTTATACGAGCCTAAGCGATATGAAATTCAAGGAGGTGTGGTTGGGTTTTTCAGTTTGAAGGTTGGCGAAACCGACGTAGCTTCAATGTTCGAAGTACGAAGTTCATAAATATACCATTACTGGTATTTCGCGATTTCCTGCAGGACGTTGTAGGTGTTTCTGAATGGCTGAAACGGTTTCATTTTGAAACCTCCCAAGACCAACCATCTAGAAGGGCACCCACGTTCAAATACTTGAGCTATCGAAAGGCGGCGGAGCTACCGACCGATTCACAAGAACGACATGACAAGTCACGGACACATGGCACGGCGAGGAAGTCATATTGTGCCGACGACTAACCCTGGCTCCCACAGCCGAAAGAACAGCACCAACGCCGCCCCTCGTATAAAAAAACGCACGAGCTCCATCATTCCGAGCGACGATTTGACGACGCTGCCACTGCTGGAGCTGCCAGCGTCGATCCACCGATCCGACGCGTCGTCGCCGCCAAATGGAGGCGCCCGATCGACGTGGATAACCCCCCGGCTGAACGACGAGCTGCTCAAGAACAACGCCACAGACGGAGTCCTGGGCAAAACGTTTGGGACGCTGAGTCTCGAAAAGAGCTTGGAGTTGCTCCAAAAGATCCTCACGGAAGGCAGGTCGCCCCCCAAGGACCACCAAATTCGCTTTACGACCCCTCCCGTGATTGCGAGCTCCCCGATGCCCCCACCGCCTAGACTTGGCGAGACAGAGCGCAAGGCTTCCGTGCAAGCTATCTCCGCGCCCCAGCGAATCGAAGAGTTATACGACACCATCACAATCTTACGCCAGGAATTGGACATGGAGAGGGCTCAAAACCGCGCAAACGACAGTGGCACTACCGGGTTTGACGATTCAAATTTCGCAGTGTTAACTCAATTATTATTAGGCTGACGGCATATTCCATGGACACGGGGGGCGATAGCTACTATTCTGCGCTAGGACGCAACGCCGAGCTACACATCCGCGCCAAGAAGTTCGAGTCCGCCGCCAACTCGATGCGCGAGGATTTGGAAGCGTCCAAGTTGGACCAGAAGAAAACTCTGGACCATGTGAATTCGCGCGAAGAAAAGCTGCGCAATGTCATCAAGAAGAACAAGTGCCTTATGGCCGAGTACGAAGTCCTAAAGGATCAATACGTTGAAGAGAAAGTCAAAAGCGTCGAAGTGTACCGAACCATGACGTTGGACAAGAAGCGCCACGACGCAGTACGCGAAGAGGTGCGGACATTATATTGCCGAACACAATGAATTATGGTGGCCATTGCAGATGGAAGCCACACAAGCCCACTTGCACAAGCAGCACGCCGAGCTCGAAACCAAGATCGATGCGATGGCCACGGCCCACGCGGCAGAGGTAAAGGGACTTCAGGCAGCCCTGGAGACGACCCAAGCCGAGCGAGACCGGCTGGTGTTGTGCGTGGCCGAGTCTCGACACCGATTCAGAGCGTGGAAAGACCGAGAAGCCAAATCCGATCTCGCAACGAGAGAACAAGCCAAGGAGGGGTTGCAACTCGAACATGCGATCCGCATGGAAAAGTTCCAGAACGAAATTCGCCTCCTCCGGGAAAAAGTTACGCAGCTCGAGCAGTCCAACCAAATGTTGAAGCGGGAGCCACATTTGTCGCCGCTGGAGCTCACGCAACGAAAACACCAACTCTTGAACACGATCACAACCCAGGAAGCCGACCTCATTGGCATGACCACCAGAGTCCAGGAGCTAGAAACGATGTTGGCATTTGCAAAGTCCCAGCAAGAACAACAAGGAGCGATGCTTCGGACAGCACAGGAAGCTATGGCCAACATGCTGCACGATCGAGAAGTCCAAGCTTTGGAGCATTTGAGTTGGAATGCAACCCCCCCTCGAACGCCTTCCACGGCTCCGATGTCTCCAACTAGCCATCTTGTCTCACGCGGTTCTGTCTTTCCAATGAAGTCGCCCACATCGCCCGCGTCTCAACTCACCCCCCGCGCCCCATCGTCGGCGCCATCCCCTCGAGTCCAGCAATCGAAACGGAAAGGGCAATATCGAAAGGCCGACTCGCCACAGCCACTGAGCCCTGCACCCCCTCAATCTATCACGCCCACATTATCGTCCACACCACCCTCGTCTGCCCCGAGCGAGCAAAACTTGACCGTGTCCAGCTGGAAACAAGATGTTCGGGGCCTGACAGAACAAGTCGAAGAATACAAAGCCATGATAGTGTCGCTGTCGAGTGAAATCGACAAACTCAAGACAGAGCGGAAAAAAGTGGCCGTGCAAAAGCAGACAGACTTGCAGCACCAGCACCAAGCAGAGCTCGACGCTACCAAGCGCCAACTCGCCCAAGCCAAGATCAACGAGCAAGAATTGAGTAACGCCCTGGAAAAGTACCGACTCCATGAATTTAACAAGGCGGCACAACTCATTCAAATCAAAACGCGAGGGGCTGTCGCACGGTATAAACTCAAGGCCAAACTGAAAGCGACGAGGATTCTACAAGCGCAATTGCGAGGGTTCGCCGCCCGCAAACGAACCAACTTGTGCCGGCCGTCCGCGATTTCTGTCCGCGACGAGCGGCGGATGCAGTCAGCGCCCACGAAAGTGACCGAGGACCAGGATGTGTATGTGGAATATTTGTCCGTCCCGCCATGCGTGAAGGTGGAAATGTGGTACAATGGGCAACTCTTGACCAAGTACATTCCAAACCGCAGCTTGCCGCTGTACGTGACCAACGGCGCCAAAATGCTCGACAAAGCCCGCGACGAGCTTCAAGTCGCACTGGCCAATCTTGTTGAATACGATGACACCTCTCACATGTTGGTGCTGCCGTTGTTGCCACCTGAAGACCTCGTCGCCAAAGCACAAGACGAGGCAGCCGAGAAGATCCAAGCGCGCGTCAAGGGGTTTATTGTTCGCAGGGAGTTGAGCGACGAGAGGGAGCGCCGACGCATCGCCGCGGAAACCATCCAAAGCCACGCCAAGGGTTACTTTGCACGCAAAACGTACGGTCGGAAGGCGGAGGCCGTGGTGCAGATACAAGCGCAAGCCAAGGGATACATCATTCGAAGGCGGTATCGGCGTCAAAAGGAAGCGTTGGAGAAGATCCAAGCCACCGCCAAAGGTAGTTTGGAGCGAAAAGCGTACGAGCACAAGCGCGCATCCATTGCAAAGATCCAAGCGCAATCCAAGGGATACATTGCCCGACGAACGTACGGGGCGAAGAAGGAGGCCGCGGTGCGCATCCAGGCCACGGCCAAAGGGCGCATGCGACGGCAGTCGTACTTGGACTACCAAGAAAAGTCGAAAGCTGCCAAGTCGATTCAAGCAAGGACCAAGGGTTTTTTGGCTCGGAAGGAAATCACGGAAAAACAAGACTCGGCCATCAAGATTCAATCGCATTTCAAAGGCCATTCCATCCGGCGCGACCGACGGCGGAAAGCCGAAAGCGCCACGAGAATCCAAAGCGCTCGCCGCGCGTACATTGAAAAGCAAGCGTTCATTGTCAAACGACAAGCCATTTGCAAGATCCAAGCCGGCATCAAAGGGTTTTACGACCGTCAGCGGATATGCATCATGCCGCGGAGACAGCGACTCAACGAACTCGACGAAACCCGCGCCGACCACAGGTTCCGGCGAAACGTCGAGTCCAACTTGGTCGAGTTCCGGATTCATTGCCTCGACAACCCGCCGTGTGTCAAGATTGAAGCGCTGCTGCACAAACACGTGTACAGTACGTTTGTCAAGTACCAAGATATCAACAACTTTGTCGGGTTTGGTATGGAATTGTACCATGAAAATCCAGAAACATTGGCTAAAACCATCGAGCCACTCTTGTCGTTGGTGCCGTCCGACGGCCCGCACGGGTATCGAGTTGTGATCAAGAAGACATGGGACATGATGGACTCCGTGAGGAAGCTCAGCCTTACACTGGACCAAAAGAACGACCTGCGAGAATTTGCACGTGCACACGTTATGGCTGCCAAGGCGGCGGCAGAAATTGGGTTGCTGTCGGCTCAATTGCGAGAAGAGTTGTACGTCCCTGAAGTGATTGGTATGGCTAAGTTTGACGTGGAACCCGCTGAAGATATCGGAACTCCAGTCAAAGCGAAATCGGGCATCGGTGAACAGCCACAACCACCAACCATTTCCCCTTCCAACGTGGCAGTTCAATTGGACGGCAGCCCAGAGCCCACGTCAAATGCATCTGTTGCAGGCAGTGTCTTAGACGTTCCGCCGTCCACTGAGTACACAGAATATTTTGGTGACTCAATCAGCGCTGTCGCGGTTCTGCTCCCGTTGAGTTCCAATCCAGCCATCGATAGTGACAAAGGTGCAGAGCAGTTTGATGCGTCAGGCAACCAACACAATGTGCCACCGAATGACGACGACAGCGACGAAGCGAAAGCATCGTCGGATTCAGAGGCTGAAGAAGTTGCGGCGACTACGCCAGTTGAGATTCCCATGTGGCTGGTAAATTTGGACATGGAGGAAGAAGCCGATTTCAAGACCATCTTGTGCGCTGTCGACGAGGCTATCGAGCACTTGTCGCCACATTCGTCGGAAGCAAACCTCCGCTACTCGATCACTCATGGGTACTCCATGGTGGAGTCGATGAACGCGTTGCCAGTAATCTATGGTATTTGTTCCCACGACTTGTTCGATGAGACAACGAAGCAAGCCGCCGCCACGGATCAAAACCTGCGCAAATCCGTTGCAGAATCCTGGGCCAATCGTATCCTCCAAGATGCCATGGAATCGTTCGCGAGTCAGCATCCTCAGCAACCTCGGCGTCAATCGACGAATTTGGACGAATTCGTTCTTGACATGGACAACTTGAACAGTTCAACAATGAAGCAACTGCTGGACGACCACCACTTTGTGTGCGAGGTGGTACAACAAGTCGTGACTGAGGCTGTCGCGAAGGTAGCGCACCACACACCAAATGGTGAAAGATCGACATTCCCTATCCTACTTCCGAAGGTTGATGCACATGAAACGCAGACAACCGATCCCGATGTTCAACCCGGCGACCTGCCAGACACAAACCGTCACGTTGACGTTATCGACGTTCCTTCGTCATTTGACAGTGACATGGCCTTGTTAGAAGCACCCCCAAGTCCCCAGAAGGCGCTTGCCTCGATTACAATTCGAAGTGTCATAGACAACACTGTACGAATGGTCACCAAACCACCCCACCGAAACAAACTCCCCCTCAACGCCGATATCAAATCTGAATTCAAGGCCAATACAGGGTGCGATACAAGGATAGCGGCGCTAACGTCAGCAGCAACAAGTTGCGTTGACAAAGCAATTACCACTGGCATCAGCAACGTGACGAGGCGGGTTTCTCAACGGAAACCTTCTTTCAATCTCGACATTTTACGTCTGCATCGCAATCCCACAGAATGCGCTGTTGCTCAGGCGACGCAATACGACGAAATTGAGCACACTCTCACCGACAGCGCTCGATTACATGACCATAATCATCATAACCCAGCACTCAGCATCACCGCTTCGACCGCGGACACCAAGCGAAATCCGTTCAAAATTGACATAGACAATGCACCATCTCTTGAAGTGACGTCACGAACAATTTCGACATTAGACTCCTCGACTGTTGAAATCAAGCGATCCCCAGTCGTCGCACCTACCGTGCAGCCACCCATCTCTAGCCAAACCGACATCGGAGAAATGCCGTTCACCATTGATGTGGCTGACGCGCTTGCGAACACGACCACTTTCACTGTCGAATCAGTGGTCGAGTCGATTCCAATCGTTGCCGTCGAAGCCGCGCTCGCAACCGATGCTGAAGTCGCAGTGGACGTCGTGGACACCCCACGTTCTAGTGCGGTATCCGAAGTGGCTCCAACGTTAGTCGCCGAACCGGTGGCCGTGGCCGAGCCAGTGGACGGGCCAGTCGCTGCGGTGGATTCACCATTGACAGACATCGAGCGATCGGAAGCCGCACCTCCGGTGGAGTCACCCGTCACTGCTCAGGCCGACATTGTAGAAACGCCGTCCACCATTGACGTGTCGGACGCGCATGTGGACGTGGCTGCTGTCCCCGATGAAGCCGTTGTGGAGTCGACTCCAATCGTTGCCGTCGAAGCCGCGCTCGCAACCGATGCTGAAGTCGCAGTGGACGTCGTGGACACCCCGCCTTCTAGTGCGGTATCCGAAGTGGCTCCAACGTTAGTCGCCGAACCGGTGGCCGTGGCCGAGCCAGTGGACGGGCCAGTCGCTGCGGTGGATTCTCCAGTGGCTGATATCGAGCGATCGAAGGCCGCACCTCCGGTGGAGTCACCCGTCACTGCTCAGGCCGACATTGTAGAAACGCCGTCCACCATTGACGTGTCGGACGCGCATGTGGACGTGGCTGCTGTCCCCGATGAAGCCGTTGTGGAGTCGACTCCAATCGTTGCCGTCGAAGCCGCGCTCGCAACCGATGCTGAAGTCGCAGTGGACGTCGTGGACACCCCACGTTCTAGTGCGGTATCCGAAGTGGCTCCAACGTTAGTCGCCGAACCGGTGGCCGTGGCCGAGCCAGTGGACGGGCCAGTCGCTGCGGTGGATTCACCATTGACAGACATCGAGCGATCGGAAGCCGCACCTCCGGTGGAGTCACCCGTCACTGCTCAGGCCGACATTGTAGAAACGCCGTCCACCATTGACGTGTCGGACGCGCATGTGGACGTGGCTGCTGTCCCCGATGAAGCCGTTGTGGAGTCGACTCCAATCGTTGCCGTCGAAGCCGCGCTCGCAACCGATGCTGAAGTCGCAGTGGACGTCGTGGACACCCCACGTTCTAGTGCGGTATCCGAAGTGGCTCCAACGTTAGTCGCCGAACCGGTGGCCGTGGCCGAGCCAGTGGACGGGCCAGTCGCTGCGGTGGATTCACCATTGACAGACATCGAGCGATCGGAAGCCGCACCTCCGGTGGAGTCACCCGTCACTGCTCAGGCCGACATTGTAGAAACGCCGTCCACCATTGACGTGTCGGACGCGCATGTGGACGTGGCTGCTGTCCCCGATGAAGCCGTTGTGGAGTCGACTCCAATCGTTGCCGTCGAAGCCGCGCTCGCAACCGATGCTGAAGTCGCAGTGGACGTCGTGGACACCCCGCCTTCTAGTGCGGTATCCGAAGTGGCTCCAACGTTAGTCGCCGAACCGGTGGCCGTGGCCGACCGAGTGGACGAGCCAGTCGCTGCAGTGGATTCACCATTGACAGACATCGAGCGATCGGAAGCCACACCTCCGGTGGAGTCACCCGTCACTGCTCAGGCCGACATTGTAGAA